CGGCTGCATCTGCATCCGCGGCCCGGGGCGCCGATGCAGAGCCCAGATTCCTCAACGAGCGTCGGGTCACCCCAACCTGGACCGTGAACCAGCTCAAAGGAAAACTTGAGACTATGACCGGTGTCCCGCCAGGCTTCCAAAGTCTCCGCATCAAAGTCCCCGGACGTCCTGTTCAATGGATGGAGGGCGAGGACCGACGGATTGATGAATGGGGTCTGGTGAAGGGGTGCGAGATTGAGGTAGGCACTTCTCCGCTTCGTTGTCGCCCATCAACTTCAGCTTCAACCTGATTTTTTAACTCCGCTATGCTGCGGGATCTGGAATTTATTCATATTAACATAACTCATTTGCTATCATTTAGGTCCACGACTCTCGCCCACAGTCCATGAGACCTAACTACACTGATCTCTCCTCAGTCGAAAAGTACGAATTACCCAGTGAGACATACGAGTCTCTCCCGAACTCGGTACTTGCCTGGAAAAAGAACCAAAAGCTAGGCCGCTTCGACCCTAATGCCCTTTCACCTGAAGAGGCATTGCGCAAGCAAGTGGAGAAGGATCAGAGTGAAATTTCTACTAAAGGTATGCTATGCTATGCTATGCGAGACAGGCCGCAAGACCTTGCCTTGTCCAATACCAATATGCCGACAAGCAAGTCAGGCCAGTGTTCTAGTTCCAATTGACCTTTTTTGGCGTGTGTGTAGGAATTGCCGTTGATGCCCGCGCTATCATCCTCCCATCGTCCCCGCCGCATATTCGCCGAGGAACAGTTCGATTTGTAGGACCCGTTCCGGCCATTCCTGTTACTGGACCGGGTCGTGAGCTGGAGCGTGAGGGTGAGCTTCCTGCGGACCTACAGCCTATCTGGGTTGGTATTGAGTTGGATGAGCCAACGGGTAAGAATGATGGTAGTGTTGGTGGAAAGAGGTACTTTGAATGTCTGGACAAGAGGGGTGCGTTTGTTAAGCCTGACAAGGTTCAGATTGGAGATTTTCCTCCTCTGGATCTGGATGATGAGCTTGATGACTTGATGGAGGAGATTTAAAATCTAAATCTTCAAGTTGACGTGTGAGACGCAATGTGATGTGATGCAGAACGCATGGAAATGAATATTATTAGACATGTTTGTGAATGAATTTCTAATTCTTACTCTGCTTTCCTCTACTCTACTCAATCCCTCGACGAGGCTACTCATCGCCAATTATAAGAGACAGTAGAATAGATTGAGGGGGAAAAATTGGGATAAAACCGACATCCGGGCCTAGCAATTACAGAACAACACATATCGCTAGAAAAGACACAAAAATAAAATCAAACAGAGGAGGTATCGTGACGCGTTCAACACCGACATGAAGTAGAATCAATGGCAAAATGGAAATAGCCAAGATAGTATTTAATTCCCAGCTTTCTGCTTACCCTTGCGACCTCGAGCGGCTGCAGGCTTGGCTTTGGGCTTGGGCTTAGATGGGCCGGCTTCGGCTTCGGTTTCGCCATCAGAGTTGCCTTGCTCAACGGCTTGGGATGTAGTTCCAGAGTCCTCCTCGGAATCCTCATCAGGGACACAACCTTGTGTAAAGAAAAGTCTTACATCTTTCTCATAGGGATTCGCGAAGCTGTACACGTTGCCTGTCAATCCGTTGTTAGTTATGTTACAAGGGTAAGGTTTTCGTGCTGGGATCCTTGAGTGCCACTCACCTTGGGGGACCTGGAAAACACAGCCTTTGCCTGCGCTGAATTGGACTCCAGAAACGTCCACTTGGACACGACCATTGCAGACGTAAAATACCATGTGCATCTTTTTCGAATTTTTGGGTTTCTTTAAACTGTCTGGTGGCAGGTCAAGAACACCCGATCCAATGAAGGAAGAACTGAGTAATTTGGCAAATTTGAACGTAGATCCCTTGACGCCCTTCGTTTGAATACCAGAGGGGGCGTAAGCAATAGTGTCTATGATAAGGACTGGTTAGAGATTGTACAAATAGTGTGTTGCGGTCGGCTTCTCTCTTACCTGTGACATCTTCTGTGGTGCCTCCAATAGGATCCCATTTCGGTACAATGCCATGAAGAATACCGCCCTGCGTCTCCCATTCGTCCATATTTTCGTCTTCTTCGTCTGAAAAGTCTTCCTTTCGCTTTTTGGACCTGCTTGACTTGGACTTTTTACCACGCTTGCCTTTGCCCTTATTCTCCGGTTCTTGCTCTTCTGTGCGGATGATTTCCTTGATAGTAGAGAGCGGGTACCGCTGGCCCTCTGCGGCTTCTCCATCGCCGTACACACAGCGTTCATTGCGCCAGTAAGCAAGAGGTCTGACAGAGACTCGCCCTGAGCGAGTGTGGGTGGAGACATCCTCGGTTGGGTTCTCGCGCTTTAGGATATACAGACTGCGGCCCTTCAAGGGACCTGAACGTTGGGAGTAATTCTCCACAACTCGGTCCAATTCCGGGTCCAGTGGTTCTTGTGGTTGAGCTTCCTTCGATACTCTCTGTTTCTTGGCCGGTCTAGCCTCGGGGGTTTCCTCGTCAGCAGCGCGAGCAGCCTTCGGCGGTCTACCTGGCCGACCAGCGGCCGATTTGCCTTTGCCGTTGTTGGTAGTTTTGGCTGCAGGTCCCTTCTTCGTCGGCTTGGTTGCTTTTTCGGCTTGTCGTGGCTCTTCTGGGGCGTCTGCATGGTCGCTGTCCGAGTCGTCCAAATCTTCTTCGATGGGTTCTAGGATCTCGTCCTGGATCACAGTGTCGTTGCCATGATCAAAGCTGTTCTCAACATCATCTTGGATGGCAAATGATGTATTTTCGTCATTCTCTTCGTCGGAAAATTCGGTGGTTTCGGGGAGCGCCCTGGCTTTCTGCAAGTTGTTCTTTCCCTTCTTCGGGCCAGCGTTGACCGAGCGGGCGCTCAGAGGAGATGGGTCTCCTCGCAGATTGCCGTTTGTAGCGACTAGACTTCTGCCCTCAGAAGGACTGGAAAAGTCTTGCTCAGGCTCTGGAGAGGATTGCACTACTGGAGACCTCCGGATATTTCGGGAGGAGCCTTTGACTGGTGATTGCGACGGTGGTGGTAAGTTTTGCGATCGATTGGAGGCATTGAGAAAGTGCATAGGGCCCGGCGCATTATCTGGATATTGAAATGCGATATAAGCACATAGCTCGGGGTGTTACACAATTCGCGAGGGGCGAGGGCTGTGTTGTGTTGTGGTGTGTTTTACTCACCATCCTCAATAGACATATCAGAGCCAATAGAATCTTCAACATCGTCTTCGAAGCCATTCATCTTATCGGGCGATTTCTCGGGAGATGAGAACAATCCATCGACTTCTTCCATTCCATGTTCGTCGCGTCGGCCCTCTTTCAGGGTAAGTCCAGTGCGCCTGGGGGTCGCATCAGCATCAGAGTATAGTTTCGCGCGCGCAATTGTCGAGAAAGGAACAACTTACCTTCCTGCGGTTCCGACGTTGGAATAATCATATTCGCGAGCTTTCCCGAGTCCACGAGCCATCTTGGCGGGGATAGCGACAGCGACAGGCAGATGGGGAAATTAGTTTGAACCTGCAGCAGCCAAAGCGTAGGTGTGGATGTGGATGTGGAGGGGAGAGGAGTGATGCGACGGAATTTGGGGGGGGGGAAACCTGCAAGGGAAACGCGCCCACGCGCCAACCACAGCCGACGCGTCTGTCTCCTCCGCGGCATACCACACCTTCTCCTCAACTGGAAACTTCAAGGCTATTTTCCTCATTCTCATCCTCCTTCACACCCACCATGGTGACAAACAAATCAAAGGTCGATGATCCCCAAGATCTCAACTTCATTCCACCAAGTGTGGAAAAAGAGCATGTTCTCTCAGGAGAGTCATACGCCTACTATACACCAATTCCAGCCGCCATCACACCCCACGACAAATCCAATCCCATAAACCCCACAACTGAATCTACACCATGTGTACTGGGCGTTGACGAAGCCGGTCGCGGCCCAGTCCTAGGACCAATGGTCTACGGCGCATTCTACCTCCCACTCGATCTCCACCATTCCCTCTTAGCCGAAGAGCACAGCTTCGACGACAGCAAAGTCCTCACCCCCGGCGTCCGGGCCAATCTCATGCGTCTACTCAACACACCGGGTGAGAATTTATTCGAGTCCTGCGGCTACGCGATCAAACTTCTTTCGGCGCGCGATATTGGTTCCGGAATGATGAAACCGGGTACAGCGGTGTACAATCTTAATGCGCAAGCTATGGATGCTACGATTGAGATTATTCGTGGTGTTGTTGAAGAGCGTGGCGTCGATGTTAAGGAGGTTTATATCGATACTATTGGTAATCCGGCTACATACCAACAGAAGCTGGAGCGGATTTTCCCTTCATTGAAGATCACTGTTGCGAAGAAGGCGGATTCTTTATACCCTTGTGTGAGTGCTGCTAGTGTTGCGGCCAAGGTGACGCGTGATGTTGCGCTGGAAGTTTTGTATGAGGCTGTGCTTGCGGAGCAGTCGTTGGATACAACACCCGAGGGATGGGGTAGTGGTTATCCGTCGGATTCCAAATGCACTGGCTGGCTGAGACGCAACATGGACCCTGTTTTCGGTTGGGGCAACGAGTGCCGCTTCAGCTGGGGTACTGCGAAAGAAATGCTAGAATTGAAGGGTGGAGCACGGGTGGACTGGCCGGTCGATGATGATGAGGATGGGAATGGGATGCTGAGCGACTTTCTCCTCACGTCAGGTCCGAATAAAAGTACCGCAGGACAAAGTGGCATGCAAGAATGGTTTGGCCAGAAACAAGCCGAGATCTTATAACGATATGAACTTTGTCTAGCATTAATAATGAAGCTAATAAAACAATGAAGATACCCTTTCCAATCAAGCATACGCAGAATCAAGAAGAAGAAACATAGGAAAGCCATGTCTGATGCAAGTGTCATAAATCACAGAGAAAATTAAAGTGAGCCCCCTGAATTGAGGGGGTAAAACTGGGTATCATGGAAGAAGGTCGAGAGTGCGAAGAGAATCCCATCACAGCGTCGCAGTTGAAAAGTAGTAGTTATCCCACAGGTATTCATAGTCCTCCACCACGCTGCCTACCAGGTCCAACAGTGGCTTGCCCTTCATCTTGCCAGTAAGACTGTGCAGCCATGACCTAATGCATTGTTAGTGTGTATTTCAAGTTATGGGGAGATGGGGCAAGGAAAGATCCATACTTGGTAATGTTCTCGTAAAAGGCACCCCGCATCAACCACCAACCCATGGACCATCCGCGCTTTCTCAGCTCCTCACGCTCAAGTCCAGTCAGGCCTCGAAGACCTCCCGCAACACGTTCGCGGAAATCCCGCTTAGCGAGTTGTCGACAGCCATACTCCATTCCAAAACCGATCAGCCAGGGCCGCCAGCTTCGCTTATCTTTGCTCCATTTCTGCATCGCCAGGGCATAGACTACTGGTCGCAGAATATAGAGAACCTCCGCCAGCTGCCCTTGGCCGGTAACTCGATGCAGAAGCGTTTTCGGGGGCTTGATGTCATCGGCAGTGAGAACTTTGGAAATGAGATAGTTTGAAACGTCATTGACGTCCGGAAGTGATGGGAGCGAAAGACCAGTTCGAGGCATCGTCCAGTTCAAGTCGGATGACTTTTCGCTGGTGGGGGTCTCCATTCCATTCCAGTCGCTCTGCTCCTCTTCCGGCTGCTCCATTGTTCTGGGGTCAACTTCGCGCTCGGGAAGCGGGGGGTTGACTAAGGGTCTAGAATTTGTCAAACGGAGGAGCAGAATGCGGCAGACTGCTTTGGCAAATTCGATAAAGACAACGACGCGCCATCTAGTCTTCTGCCCGCGTCGGCGCGCTGCCATTTCCCAAAGGAGCTCTGTATATTGGAGCATCTGGAGCGCGAGGGCCACCTGACGGTACAAGGAGGAGCGAGAAGTCCAGTACTTGGTATATCGCGAATGAGGGGTTGGCGTCGGTCGCGGAACGGTTGATGGGAGCCGTGAGATGACTTTCGCTACGAGGGAGTCATGGTAAAGGGACAGGAGCTGGACACCGGAATGGACTATATGATCTGGTTAGAAACGTTTCAAAGAAACAAAGGTCACAGAGAAGTGTAGAGTGTAGACTGACCACATTCTGAGGCGACTTCGGATTCACGATAGCGTCCTGATGAACGAAATTGATACGTTAGTAGGGTTCCCATGCGCCCAGGCGATAGTATTCCGTAGTCGATCGCACTCACCAGGGATGATGTAGGTCAGCGACCGCAAGGCGGACTCGACCTGTCCAACGGAGCTGGAGTTCTTGGTAACGAAGTCTTCATAGAGGGCGAGCCACTTTGATGGTCCTAGCATCGCTGGCGATATGGGATTTGAGATATTCCGAACGGTCTCCATGATCCAGGATGATGCATTGCGTAGTCGCGGAGTCGACAAGGAGAATGGCCGGGGAAGTCACGGGGCGCCAAGACTTGCGGGCCGAGGTTGATGCTTGCGGGCTTCGGAGTACTCCACGGCATTTTACATTTTATGCTAAACTTGAGTCAAAAATGAATGAAATCTTGAGAATCTGATACGAGAATTTGTTGGAATAGCTTCGCTGAGCCTCAGTAATCTATCAATCCACGATAGGATGCGTTGCTCTAATACTACATTACGCGGGGTATAAATTGATCTCATCAAGCCTCCGGGAACGGGCATTCATATGCAACAATAAAATGGGTATAGTACAGATTTAACAAATAGGTTTCGTTTCACTCATCCGCCCAAGTCCAAAGACCCCCCGGACGCATCGCCTCACGGTATCGTTCCTCAATCTTATCTCGCTCCAGATTCCCCGCAGCTGCCCAGTCCGCTTCTAGTTCTTGCGTATCGGGCATCTCAGTTCGCCAGAAACCCGGCGGTGTTCGAGCTCGCTGGTGAGTATGCCGGTGTTTTCCGTACTGATTGGCGATGGCTCGAGCCTTGGCCTCGATTAATAGACGCTCGCGATCTTCTGAGCTAAGTCCCTCGAGACGATGTCGTTCTTCACCTAGGTATTCTTCCAGTATTCGTTGATTTTCCTGCTCTTGGTTGTTTGTAGGGAGGCCTCCAAGACGAGCCATCGCGCGAAAGCGATCTCCACAGCAGCCGGGACGCGTGCAGCCGGAAAGGCATTTGCGATCATCTTTCTTTCGGACTACGGTGCTATATGCGTAGTCCATTCCCTGGTTGCCATCTGGATTTATCTTGAAATGGGATAAGTTCAGGCGGTGGAGAGGTAGGGATCGGTATGGTTCGTCTTCGGGTCTGACTTGGGGGTATGGTTGAGATTGGGATTCCGTCTCGTCGGTTGCCATCGGTGTTGGTGGCTGGCGTTTAGAAGACTCCGCTATATTTCGATTTGCACTTGAAGTAGCCGCCGCACCGTGTGAAACTTGGGGCAAGTCGGCGTGAGATGGTTCGGATATTTCATGTGAATTTGCATTTGGTTGAGCTGCTGAGGTGCTTTTCGAGGCTTGTTCGCTGTCTTGAGCTTGATCATCACAGTCCTCCTCAGAGTCACAGACCTCGGTCTTTACCACTGTGGCACGTTGGCTCCTAACCTTCTGCTTTTTGCTCCCGGACTCTCTGTTCGATTGCCCACCTATTCTGGAATTTCCATCAACGGGGTTAAGAATCGACGGCGTTTGAAACGATCTATCATCCGGCATTTTTAGGAGCGGGTTGACAGGACTATATTCGTCCTCATGCCCTTGGTGTCCCTGGCCAGAGGCCTTTCTTCGAGACCTTCGCTTGGTGGGCGTTTGAACAGTATGGCCAATTGCGTCCAGATCCTGAGTGCTTGGAAAATGCTGGCCAATGGAATGGATGGAATTCCGTGGCGGACTCGAAGAAATGGGTTCGTTCTTGACGACTCCAGACCGCGAGGGAATTGTCTCCCTGGGTTTAGAAGAGTTGGTAGAAGATACTACCCGTTTCCGTTTCAGATTCTTCATGTCGGGTAACAGAGGAAGAGTGTCCGAGTTTGCTTCTGATGGTATTGAATCGACGCCAGGTTGGCTCTGCACTTCTTCTGGGTGCTCTCCCAAATCTATGGGCTGGCTCTGCTCTTCCGTCTTGACATGAACACGTGTATCGGTTAAGGGACCCCGGGTTTGGTTGTTTGGGGGGTTTGTTGTAGTAGAGGTCGATGAAATGGAGGTTGCGCGATTCATGAGACTTTCATTAGATACCGAATTTGCGGTACCTGCAGGAATATGCGTGTTCGTTGTTCCCTCCTTCGAAATCTGAGTTCTTCGAAATGTGACGGGTGAACCATTGAGTATAAGAGTAAACTCATTTCGTTCCAGTTGCTTGTCCCAATGACGCAGTTTCTTCTTATGCTGGAGAACTTTTGCCTTGAGACTGCCCCAGCCTTGAGAAAGTGTTTGAAGATTGGCATAGAGTGCCGAGTATTTCTTCATGAGAGTTTTCTTCAACTGGTCGACATTGTCATGGTTGATTGTTGCCAATACATGCTCCGGAGCAAACTCATCTTCCAAATGACTGAGTTGATTTGGGAGTTCCAGATCTTCAGGCCTGCTTTCAAAGTGGCGGAGCTGCTCCTGAAGAGCGGCTACGTGTGATTGGAGCTCTTGGTTTCGATTTTCTGTAGCTTGCTGAGCCGCACTGGCAGTTGCGGCATTCCTTTCTGCTTCTTCTGTTCTTTTTTGGAGATTGGCATTTTGGGACTCCAGATTTCGATAGGCAATACTGAATGACGCCTCACATGCCTCGGTAATGGAGGCATGGAGCTCCCTCAGAACCTCCATGAGGTGTTCGTTTGATCGTGATCAACAATGTTCATCCTAGGATGTTCCCCACTGACGCGTGCCACGGCTACGGGCAGCGGGCGGCGGGCAGCGGGCAGTCACGTAATACACGTGATTTCTTATCAAAGACCGATAAGGGGGGGCACTTCCCAGGGTTGACGTAGCCCCGAGTTTCCCATAGCGAAATGGGAGTTTCTCTGTGTATCCATTCCCATTCTCATTCTCCCCGCAATCTCGTGAAGAAACCATGCAAAGATCCTTGTTAATCTGATCATGTCAAAGCGTCGCAGAGGCGAGGAGGACCAGTCCGAAGCGCCTTTTTCAAAAAGACGCCGGGACTCTGCAACTGGTGGCCCCGTTGACCGCCTGTCCTCGTTGAGCAATGAGCTTTTGCTTCATATCTTGTCATTTCTTCCAATTTCATCACTTGGTGTGTGCCAAAGGTAAATCGATTTCCGTTCTTACTGCGAATTTCATTTTCATGAAATATTTACCATTATGTCTCATCTTAGATTATCCCGTCGATTCAATGCTCTGAGCGGAGATTCGGAGATCTGGAAAAGACAATATTATACCCAATGGGTGCGCCCTCGAGCTCGCCGCTTGGCAAGTGCTAGACGGTTGAGTAGTTCGACCCTTCCAAATAAGACGGAATATTCGCCCAAAGTATCAACATGGCTTGGTCATGGTCATCTGGCTGGTAATGCAAATGGGAAGGCGACGAATTGGAAAGGCCAGTATCGTCTCCGGCATAACTGGTCACGGGGGGGTTTGTCGACTAAGCGAAGTCGAGTTTCCCCCCAGGCCAGATCCGCCCAACCTAGCAAAGCTATGTGCGGGGTTTGTCTTCACGGCGGACTCTGCACATGGTCTCCGGATTTGGGCGGCGAAGGATCCTGCAATTTGTCTGGCAACGGCCCCGTTTTCGGAGCAGGACGGGTCTTCCAAGATTTGTCCAACTGCTTTGGCTGTGTGTGACTTGCAAGAAGTCCAAGAAGTGGTTGTGGGATTCGAGGATGGACATTATAAACGTTATATCATGAATCCCGAAACATCTCAATTGGAGCTACGGTCATGCCATACGGGATCTAGTCGAGGAGCTATTACTGCTATGGCTTTATCATCGCCATATGTCTTAATGGTATCCCATGATAAGATATTGTCTTTGCACTACCTCGATTCTGAGCAGCAAGATTCAGCGAATCCTGGAGAAGTATTGCCTTCGCAGGAAATTGCATCTCTGAAAGCAGACAATATGATTGCGCCGATGACTCTCTGTCTTCGAAAGTCGACATTCGAGATCGTGGCTACCATCGTGTATAGCTTCTTCCATATTGGATGTGGATGGTCCCTGGGAATCCAGGAACTTCATTTCAGCAAAGATGGCCAACAGCTTGAGTCTCGGCTTACAAGCACTGTTGATTCACAATATGGCATCAGGCCACCACAAATCCTGGCACCATCTGCCAGGCGACGCCACTCTGCTACATCTGATCCTAGGCCAGTGGGACATCCAAATGCTGAAATCCCAGCCATGCCGTCTATCTTGCATAAGCAACCGCCAACATCAATGTCCTACTCTCATCCTTACCTACTGACCTCGCATGCGGATAATACTTTGACCATGTATCTGGTAGTTTCCAACTCCAGTGAACTGTTTGTGCGAGGAGGCCAGCGTCTATGGGGTCATACATCTTCCGTATCCACCGTCCAGGTAACAAATCGCGGAAAAGCGATTTCTGTCGGTGCTCGAGGGGATGAAATCCGCATCTGGGAGCTTGAGATGGCTATTTCATCCTTAGGCACGAGTCGGCCGTTCAATGAGGAAAGCAGCATACAGGTCAACCCAGAACATGAACACAAAGAGGAAGACCTGGATCTGCGTGTTGATGTTGACTATACACCGAAGAATGGTCGGCAAGAAATCGGTGGGTTAAAGCTAGATTCCGATTCTGACAGGGCGCGAGAATCTCTCACTCCCAGCCTGCATGAATGTGTTGGATTTGACGAAGAACGAGTCTTTCTCCTCCGAGAGAAGACGGTCGGTACGCAGCTACTGGAATGCTACGATTTCACGTAGATGTACCGCAGATGTAGGAATTTTTGAAAGTCTTGACTTGGTGCGTGATGGAGTGAACGTGCCCATGCCATGGCCTATGAATTTCTTGTTGAGCTTCTCTACCATTATTTCATCCCCCCACCCCAACTCCCAACCCCCCACTTGCATCACATCATACAGTGACCAACTTGGCTCATTGATGAGGGGGACACCAACGCAGGTCCAAGATCGCCGGGTAGCACAAGGTACTCATTTGCCTTCTCCACGAAATGGGGACCCTTGCGGTGTTCGTGTCCCCCCTGGATATAAAAGCTACACTGCCCCCAGAACATGGAGCTTTGTCTGCTGTTTAAAGTCCCGGGTGGTGTTCCCTGGGCCTTCTATCTTGAACCCATACCCACATCCGGAGTTTGCCGAACATGTCTACATATCTTGAGGTGGCTTGGTTGGCATTTGGGCCAACTACCAGCTCCTCCTGACAGATGAATTCATACCGGCAACTATCATCTTGAGTATAATGACACCAAGATAGATGGAAAGGCATTCGCGATGACAGTGGCGCCTGCTGAGAAACCCATCGGGTGACTTGAATAGTCATGACTTCATGCACATGAGCGTCTTGCCTTCGATCATGAAAAGATGCCCAATCGATGTCCGGATGACCGTGGAATCATATTTCATGGTATCCGGCCTGATTGGAATTAATCACTTGGGTCAAGAATGAAGGTGGATGGAAAGGAGTGTCAACCGAGAAGATAGTAGCATGATGAGGGGGAGGTTCTGTTAGATGCAGGGCGGCACCCAATCAAGACTGGTGGATTTACCAAATGTGAACAATTGGGCAAACTACCGCAAAAAAGAAAAGAAAGAAAGAAGAAAACAACTGTTTGAGTGCAATCATTTTCATGTTTCAATGAAAGACCTGCTTGACTTTAGCGGGCTGGGCCGAGTGAAACGAGCAACTCTTGATTTTAATTGAGAGCGGGAAGTTTTCTCCTCAGGCCCCCCCCGCACTACAAATTTCCTTCCTTCTTCCTTTCCTCTTCTCAACCCCTCCAACCAACACCACTTACATCCCTCCCACCTACCTATCACCAACCATATACCTCAACTCAAAATGGATCCCCGTGCCAACCGATCATGCTACAACTGTGCGTTTCTTCGTCCCCCGGAATATCCTACGGCTAGCTTGGGAAGTTGGCTCGCCTATGGCCCACAGTGTGATCACTCACGAGATGACCATTCTCTCGCGTGAAATCTTCACTGAACGCTATGACAGCCACTTGAGCTTTCCTTGCTTTCCCCGTGCCATATTCTCCTTGCTTCAATTCCTGGGAGCATCCCCCGATCGCATCTGGATGTTTTTTGACTGACTTTTTTTTTTCGCTCTCGGTAGGCGGTGACGCATCCCACCAGGTAAAGACATGCCCAATTTCCTCGTCTCGAACAGCAGCTTGAAAAAAAAGCTAGCTGTTTTGACGACAGGAAATGAATTCATTCGGTCATTGCCCGAACCCAAAGCTCACTGGTTACCATCTCTAGGCCAAGGACTGCCCCAAGAAGGGAACCCCCACCTGGTAAGTGAATTCTGGTTGCTGGTTTCCCACTCCCGCCAGCCCCAGCCATATCGATGACAGTTCGAAAATTAACATTTCTGGTATAGCTACAACTGCGGTGGCGAGGGCCACGTCAGTAAGTGATTCCGCGGAACCCATCCAACCACCAACCTATCCCGGTGCAAACGCATCTAACATTCCCGTTCTTCAGACCGTGACTGCCCCCAGCCCCCCAAGGAGCGTGCCTGCTACCGCTGCGGCATGACCGGTCACCTTTCCCGTGAGTGCCCCCAGGGCGGCCAGGGCGGTGCCCCCGGCGGCTACGGTGGTGCCCCTGGTGGCCAGGAGTGCTACAAGTGCGGTCAGGTCGGACACATTGCTCGTAACTGCTCCCAAGGCGGTGGTTACGGCGGCGGCGGCGGCTACGGTGGTGGCTACGGCCAGCGCCCCCAGACCTGCTACTCTTGCGGTGGATTCGGCCACATGGCCCGTGACTGCACCCAGGGACAGAAGTGCTACAACTGTTCGTATTCCTTTCCTTCGATGTCTTTATAACGTTTTGGTTTCGCTCATACTAACTTCAATCCTACTCTCTAGGCGGCGAGGTTGGCCACGTTTCCCGTGACTGCACCACCGAGGCTCGCGGCGAGCGCGTCTGCTACAAGTGCAAGCAGCCCGGCCACGTCCAGGCTGCCTGCCCCAACAACTAAAAAAAAATTGATGCGGTGAATTGATGCGGTGTTTTTTCCTCCCTTTTCATCCCACTCTTGGTAGTGTGGGATCACCTCAATAATTTCTTTTTTTCTTATGTTCTGGATTCTTTGCATGCGATACGAATGATCTGATATGTCTATTTTCCCTGGATTCTTTTTAACTTTGTATTATCACTCAACGGATTGAATCACGAACCATGGACTTTTTCTTCTTCGCATGTTTTTCTCCAACGTGGCTGGCTGCTACTACTGCATTTATGCTTGATCTGGTCTGATCTGATCTGTGATCTGGGTTTCAAACTTTTCCGTGCCTATGTCTACGTCTACGTCTAGCGGGCTCTTTCTCGCGCGTCGAAAGTGAAAAGTGGAGTGGAGTGCAACTGGCGATTTGGCTTGCAAGTGATGAATGGGATGGGGTATGGGATTCTTTTTTCTGTTCTGGGCGTCTTTACAGGGGATATTTAGGTGCATGGGGAAAATGCATATCGACTTCTCCAACAAAGCCAAGCCAAGCCTCGCATCTCATGTAGTCTAAAAGGTAAAAGTGAACGAATACAGTAGTATGATATTCTGAGCCAGTTCCCCCGTCTCACGAGCTGCAGCTGCACATCATGGCTCTCTTGTACTTTGGGACGTCTCCGCAGAATCGCTCCTCCTCCGCAGTGTTAAGTCCCCATGAGTCCTGGAATGGATTGAGGCTCATCTGCATCACCCGGTCCAGAATCTCACGGTCTCCTTTGCGTTCCACGCGTTCGATAATCTCGTCTAAGATCCAACCACGCGGCACGAACTAAAGTAAGCCAAAAGGTTAGTCTGTTTAACAGTCAGGCGCGAATCAGCCACGGATCACTTACATTGGGATTGACAGCCTTCATAGCTGCCTGTCTTTCAGCGTCATTCTCAGCGCCCCAATCTTCCAATACTCGTGTCCGCCAGCTGTCAAGCCACTTAGCAATACGAGTTCGAGCCGAATCATCCGTTTCACCAATCCCGCCAAATCCATCAACGTGGTAGAAAACGGACGCAGCTTCCTTCCTCTGCTCCTCAGTCTCTAATTGCGAAACCGACAATCCCGAGAGTCGTCGAAAGAAGTGATTGAAATCCAACTCCAGCGCTTCAAGCGTATCAAGCATTTCGGAAAATAGTTCTTGGAAATCCGACTCCTTGCCCGTCTTAAGTCCGAGTCGTGAGCCCATTAACCGTTTATACTCGTTCAAGAAGACAGCCTTGAATTCCTCGCCCGTTCGCTCGATGATGGTTTCCGCACGCTTGATAACTTCAGCTTCCATTTCTTCGTTGACGCCGTCCTTCACGAATCCTTCTTCGTCAACTCTGTTTCCGGCGCCGAGGAGCTCGCCAAGAGACTCGCCTAGTCGAACTAAGTTCCACCAGATTATGCTGGGCTGGTTCTTGTAGGAATAGCGGAGCATGTGGTCGTCGTGGTTGGGTGTGTATGAAGGGTCGAAATTATCCATAAACGCGAAGGGGCCGTAATCAAGCGAGAGACCGTAGATAGAAGTGTTATCGGTGTTTAGGACACCGTTCATGAATCCGTATGCTTGCCATGCAGCAACGGTCTTTGCGTTTCGCCGGACTATTTCGCGGTATAATCGAGTGAATCTGTTTTCGTCAACGTCTTGGTGTGTTTGGATCGTGTCTTGCGGTATTCCTCGGGGAGGATTGTCGATTTCTGTGGATGTTTGGCCTTCTTTGATGTTTACGGCTGCGGGGAGCTTTTCCCAGCCTCCGAAGACTTCTTCTGCTATGTAGGTGGATAGTTGGCGGATTAGTTCGCGCTCTCCTCGGACGCGGAGGAGGTCGAATGTTCCGATTCGAAGCCAGCTTTCAGCGAAGCGGGCTACGATTGCGCCGGGTTCGAGACGCTCTCGAAGGACTTTTGATTTGGGGAGTAGGGTTAGAGATAAGGCTCTAGTTGTTGGTACGCCGAGGGCATTGAGGGCTGAAGATTTGTCAATGTTTCGAGTTCGAGAAATCCTTTTGAGATAAGGTTGGTTTGGAAATAATTACCTTCAGAAACCACGTATTCTCGGATACTTGATCGAAGGACAGCCTTGCCATCTGCGAATCGCGAGTAAGGGGTCCTACCTGCGCCTTTCAGCTGTAACTCGTAGCGAGTGTTTGTGTCGGGGTTGGTGCTTTCGAAAAGACTGATTGCACGCTGTTCACGACATGTTAGCCAGTATTCTTGTACCAAAAAAAACCCCGCAAGATTGTGGAATCTTGATGCAACGTACTCCATCTCCCAATTGTCCTGCCCACGAACCACTGAAAAGGGTCAGTCTCAAATTCATTCCAATGACAAAATTCGCTTCCATAAGTACTGTACTTACAATTGCCACCCTAAATTCATTCATTCGTGTCAGTTATATGTAATCAACGTACAGAGACAAATCGCCGAAGTAGGAACTCACCACCGTAGCACTGTGCCCAGGGATAAATGCCACCACTCTCCTCATTCCATAAAATCGAATTGCCTGCAACTAACGCCTGCAACTCGGCAGTCTTCTCCTCTCCAGCCTTCAATCCCAGATCTTTCATGGCTGTGGAACTCACGCCGAGCAGCTCCGGCGCCTCGGCGGGTTCCGGACGAACGTAGGTAAACAAAGCGCCCCTGACCATCCGAGGACCTAGGGTTTCCCGGGGCGCTTTATGCGAGGCCTCTGGCGTTTCGAAGGCCGGATCAGCCGGTAGCTTGGATGTGAAGACATTTGATTTTGGCAGGTCGGACAAGGAGACGCCGCCGGCGCTGCCGGTTGAGAGATGCGAGACCATTTGGTTTAACCGGTTCCTGGTCGACGGCAAAACGGGAAGACGAAGAGCTTGGGACATATATCGATGGGGCGGGGAAACGCGAAATGCACGAAGCGAGAGCATATAGGATTGTGTTGTGTCCTGGAGACTGGAGATATATGTATGATATATGTCGGTCTTAAGGAAAAGAAAGAAAAAAAGGTACGGGGAACGGGAGAAGTGACATCATGTTCCCATGTTCCCATTAATAATTGCAGAGTCTGGGCCGCGCGGGGATCGACTAGGAAAACTGGGGAACTTGCGGAATTTACGGGCAAATTGACGACTTTTTGAAAATATTCCCTCCCTCTTTCTCTCTATCTCTCTTTTACCATCTACATCTACACGGTGGACTGGAAGAGACATTCTATCGCAACCATGACCAACCACCCAGATATTCCAACATTGAAGCTGAATGACGGTAGTTCGATCCCTATCGTAAGTAGCTTAGCTATACTCCAACACAACACAAACATTTTCCCCTCACTTACCCCCTTTACCCCTCTCCTCCTACCAGACCTCTCTAACTGCCCTATAGCTCGGATATGGATCTGGCACCGCATGGTTCAAGAGAGGCGGCGATACCACCGTCAATCGCGAGCTAGTCGACTCTGCAAAAAGCGCCGTAAAGCTCGGATTCAATCATCTCGACGGAGCCGAGGTCTATGGGACTGAAGAAGAATTAGGCCAATCTATCCAAGAGTGCGGCGTACCTCGAGACCAATTATTCATCACCACCAAAGTGAGCCATTCTCGCATCAACGACATCCCCGCAGCAATTGAGGAGAGTCTCAAGAAGCTCCAGCTCGACCATGTGGACCTCTACCTGATCCATGCACCCTTTACCGCGAAGAATGACGCCGAGCTTCAGGCGGCATGGGCTGCTATGGAGCAAGTCAAAGCGTCAGGAAAAGCCCGTTCTATCGGCGTATCCAACTTCCTGCAAAGCCACCTCGAGGCGATTTTGAAAACCGCCAACGTGGTTCCCGTTGTCAATCAGATTGAGTATCATCCGTATCTTCAGCATGGGGACCTGGTGCCCTGGCAGGAGAGCAAGGGAATCAAGACGGTCAGCTACTCGGGTCTTGTACCCATCACTCGTGCGTCTGGTGGCCCGTTAGATCCGCTTCTATCGGGCCTGGCTAAGAAGTATGCCGTCCATGAGTCTGAGATCTTACTGCGTTGGACGCTGGATCAGGGATACGTGTCAATCACTACTAGCAGCAAGGAGTCTCGGCTGGTGGGCTATTTACGCGCCTTGACATTTAAGCTGACCCCTGAGGAAATCAAGGAAATTTCTGAACTGGGTCAGCAGAAACACTATCGTGCGTTCTGGCGGGAGAAATTTGCGGATGATGACCGGTCGTAACTTCAATAAGGCCAAGTTTCAAATATTGCTTCATCTGCCTTAGGTATGGGATATCATGATCCATGTGATCTATCATCATAGCATCCAGCGTGTCTTTACGCTCAATGATTAAATTTAGCCCCGACTTTTCTCCTTATGAACATAAGTATATATTTATATATATATACATTAAGTAGTATTCATTTGGCTAGAAATTCTTACCACTTAATTTGACTCCCGTGTCCTTGAAGTCCTTTGTTGCTTGCGTGATAGCCGAAGTATACTAAAGTTGACCCAAAAGCGGCGAGGCGGGCAACCCCGAAAAGGGAACCCCCAGACGGAATCCCCATCTTCTTTCCATCTCGACTTTCGACCTTCATTCACCTGGACTATTCCTCCCCCCCTCCACCCCCCAAACACACCTCATTTATTTATTCTCCCCTCCCCTACCGCGAGACTCTTTCCAGAGACTACGCGCTCTAAGATGCCCTGAGGTGATCTGCCCCCCCTCCGAGGCCCGCATGCTATTTACCCGCTTCTCGATGTTTTGACCCGCATTCGATTCCATCCCAAGCGCATGCGACTCGCCGACTCGCGTGGCCACCCTCCCCCTCTGGCAATTCCAGCTCATCGCGTCCTCCTTTGCAAGCACAACCCAATCCTAATCGATGGTGAAATCTAAGCAAATCGCAAACTCCGCAGATTGCGATGTCGGTGAACGACCTACCCCCCTCTGCGGACCCAACGATATCCCATACCAATCAGCCATATGCATCCGACCTCGAAGCTCTCGATAATCGATTAAAACGCCTATCAGAGGACGTATTTCCTCTTCACCCTTATCTTCTCACTCTACCGACGAACGCCCCATTTCGTCTGAGCTCCCGTTCCGCGAACAATTGGGCCGTTGGACATGACCGGCCGTTCTCCTCGGACGAACAACAGCTTCAGTATATGACCTTCTTGACACACGACAGCGGGGATTCTTTGCTCTTGGCTGTTGGCGATTGGTCGGACGAGTCTGGACGCATGATGGCCGATCGACCTAGAACCACAAGCACAACCGCTACCGAGAACCCCAGAGACGCAGTCTCCAAGAAGAAAATCAGCCTGAAAGATTATAATACTCAGAAAGTCACTAGCACCTCCGTCGCTACACCTACACCTCCACCGCCGGAAAATCACATTCGAGAGCGCTCAGCACACGCGAACAAACGCGAAGGAGGAGCTAAAGCGCGTGCGACAACTCCAACTCCGGACCTCACGATCTCGAACGACAAGCTTGAAACACGATCAATTCCTACCAAATCACAATCGCAACAACGATCACTATCACCCACCAAAGATTCACATTCTTCCAAGAAACGGCCTTCGGCGTCATACGCAGATCTCAACTCACACTCACACTCACAACCACCAAAAGGCTCGGACATAATGCACTCTCCCAAAAAGCCGCGACTCTCCCCCGAGAAGGACCAGCGCATTGAAAGCCAACCAGCGAAGTCGTCGCGCTCTCCACGACTTCCTGCACTTTTATCACCTACACTGCCACCTACCGCTGGTCCAAGACTCCCCCGGTTACTGTCTCCAACCTTGCCGCCAGACATTGAGAAGGAGCTGGCTAAGATCGGCGGGCACTCTCCTGTCCACCATACTTCCCCGAAACGCGAAAATGCCGCGATTAGGACGAAACGCAATGATGAGCTTCACCAAACCAGGACCCCGACATCGACATCCGTGAACAGCGGCAGCAATTCGAGTCAGCAAGGCGGAAGCGGTCGTGCGGGTACATCATCCAAAGACAAAGACTCGCTTGTGCCAAATCCACCAAGGCGCATCGTTTCTCTCAAGTATGGAAAGTCAAACCGAAAGAGGGTCGAGGCTCTTCTGAAGTTCGCCGGGAAAAAGAAAGCATATCCGACGAATTCTACACCTGGTGCGGACACGGATCCTGATGATGTCTCTCACTCTCACGTCGAGAGGAGGAGAGAAGGGGACGTCAGCCAATCACGCAATAGTGTCGCATCCAAAAAGATCAAGAGTAAAGCTAGGCATGAAGCCGACGAGACCCTCGGCTCTGGCACTGTGGGTGGTCGAGCCCGAGATCGAGAATCCAGGACGTCCATCGATAAACCTACCACGCCAGCATTCCATCCACCTGCTCACGACAGAACCAAACCAAACACACTGACACCAGTCAAGGACCTCAAGAACATGGTGTCCCGCCATGGTGAACCTGGCGATGGCGATGGCAAAACACCAATCAATCCGACAAACAAACGATACTCCACCGATCTGGGAGCAAAGGGGTCACCTTCTCAGCCAGAAAGTCGATCTCGCGACAGCGACCGTCGAGCCTGGCGAGACGAGTTCCAAAAATTCAGCAGCATCGGTCGAGAATTGAAGCATGCCTCCGAGCGCTACACAGCTATGACTGGGCCTTCAATCGCAGATGAGAAATTGTCCGTCGTGACCGCCATCGAAGCAATCTTGTCCTTCATTCTCGCATTCGTCTCTGATAACCAGTGCAAGTCGCTCGCGCGACAAGTCGGCGATTCCTCTTCGTGGGTGTCTATTCTCGCTTACTGGCGAGTCGTTCGGAAAAAGAGCGGTCCATATCCGGTATTACATGGGCTCTCCCTACTTCTCGGGGCTGTCTCTTACGACGCTATACATGCATTGGATCTTGAACGCCTTGCCGTCAGCCCATTGCCAGGAGAACATACCCCGGCCCCTACACCTGGCGCTGGCGGCGGCGATGGTAGTCATCACCCTACCCCAGCTTCGTCAGACGACTACAAGAAAGCATGGGAAAAAATCTCCGAACTGAGAAATCGTCTTCCAGAGTGTTATCGGGAATCCCAAAGGTTATGGCTGGAAGGATCCAGAGGTCTCTCTGAAGATATTCTTAGCCAAGAGTTTCCCAATACGTGGTCACGGCGCTCTCATAACTTTGCTGAACGAGGCAGGATACCTCTACGAGCTGGTGAATATGCCGGTGATTATTTCCTTCCTCTTGGGGGAACTACTCAGCCCATTGAGATTGTGCGGTTTAGTTGGTCGATTCTTCATGAGTGGTGCGAGCAGGAGGGTATTGATTGGAACGAACGACTCGTTCTTTGAATTCTGGAATAAGGTCAACCAACCCAACCCAATGTTTTGGTTTTGGCTTTGACATCCTCACCACATCCAACTCACCCTACTTCACACCAATGGCGTTTTCTCTCCCCGATTTTCTACTCTACTCTCTTGCCGATTTGCCTTCACTTCACCGAGGGAGGCCGGGGCAATTGGTAATACGGCGTTCCAGATTTTTCTAGTTGAGTTTTGCTCGTGTTTTTTTTGTCTCTATGATACCACAAGCGCTGGACTTTCATTTCAATTCATCGGGTGTACTTATTAAGATATTTAAGATGACACGATTAATATGAAATATCGATGTCTAAACAATTAAATTGAATTGCTTCCATGCCTAGCGTAGTTTAGTGAAAGGATCATGATCATGATATCAAACGCTATCGCCACAAGACTCTGGCGCTGCGACTGCTGCTGCTGCTAAGGACCAAACGCCCCAGTTTAATTCGCTCCAACCAATACACCAACAAGCAAAGGGGGGATACGAGGGCAAAAAAATAAAATAAAGAATCAGTGAAACAAAGACAGAAATGGCTCAAGTGATAAGAAAAGAACAAGAAGAAATGAAAAATCGCTCAGTAACAGGGATGAAATGATGAGATAGACCCTGACCAGACTAGACTTCGTGGTAATCATACTCAGGTCGAACACCATGGTCATGATCACTAAAAAGCCAACCCGCCTCACGACAGTATCGGGCTTCTCGACCATATATGCCAACTTCACTTGCCCAACAGATAACCGAAGCATCGACAATGTCAGCAATGACACTTTCGATCGAGCCGAGGATACTCCAGCCGATTGTTCCGGCGATTAAGCCCACCACATAAGCGTATAAACTGCCCCGTACCGTTCCGGCCGTGCTGGAGCTGGACATCGTCAAATTTCGAGCTGTTGTGACCCAGCCGCCGAAACCGAGAGCTAAAGACATCATGAAACGTGTTGCGTGCAGAATCAATTTGGAAAGTCGATATGAGAGTAATGATGTAGAGCCAGAGCCAGAGCGGGGTGAGGGGGAATAGGAGCTTGGATGCAAAGATGTCGTTGCGGCTGATGGAGCTAGTATTGTCATTTGGCCTAGTCCGCGCGAAGACGCGGCTAAGGGCTGAGAGTGAATTGCGGCATATGTGAGGGAAAGCGGGTTGGTCAGGTAGGTTATTGGCGTTGGGATGAGTGAGTAGGCGAAAAGGCCCAGAAGCGAGGAAAGACGGCTGGGTAGCAAAAGTAGGGGCAGTCGAACTAATAGTCCGAGCAAGCGAGATAAACAGATGGTACCGAATAAAGTTGTGGTCGCGTGCGTGACCGCCGCTTGAACAATCTCTCTCGAAGAAGGCGCTGGCTTCGCTAGACGGTGGAAGTACCATTGGCTCACGGTTGCTGCTGTGACGGAGCGTTGAATACCTGCAATAACCCCGATCGACCAAAGATAGAATATGACGAAATAAACACCCAGCCACCAGCTGCCCAAGTCAATTATGAAGGATTTGGGTCCGGCTAGATGGCCGCCGAGGAATACGCGAGTGAACATGAGCATCCAGATCCATGTCCAGGAAACCACGCAGACGAGAACAACCAACCCTAGCGCAAGGAGCTCGGGGTTTGCAGCCAAAATTCGACATGAGAATTCGAGGATGCCGATTGCTTTGCCGATTGATCGGCGACCTCGGAGGACGTTGTAGGTCCATAGGCTGGCCATGAGAAATGGGACTAGAGAGCCCCAGCGCATAATCTTGTCTTGGAGGCTTGTACCGTGCCATGAGCCTTTGAAGCTCGAGATGAAAGGGTACAAGGAAAAGGAGAAGAGAATGATAGGCACTGCGACGATGATTACGTGGACTAAGAGCCGCACGTAGGATCGAAGAAGGGCTAGCCAAACGAGGGATACGAAAACTGCAACAAGAGTATAGATACCAAGAAGGAAGAAAGACTTGTGTAAGGTCAAGTAAATAGTATCACCCCATTTGGATTTGTCTCCTGGTGGAGTGGATGTGTGCAAGTAGACGAGAAAGGCGGTGGCAAACACACTGGCCATGGCAATCAGAAATAACTGACCCCAAAAGGGGTCATGTAATGAAGCTTCTGACGCAAGAGGTGAGCTTGGCCCGGGAGAGGAACCCGTCGAGCTCGAGCTCGGTGGCCTCGAACCATCCGATGGGAGAGCCTTTAGGTGCGCGGGCGGTGATTGCGATACAGCTGTAGTCGCAGTGTAATCAAACGGGCTCTCGGTCAATGATGGCTGCTCTCGGAACCTCTGGATTGGAGGGTCGCCGCCAGCGATAATTTCGGATGGAGACTGATCACCACTTCCGCCATGTCGAAATGAATCCTCCAGCCCAACATCAACCAGGTTTCCTCTGGCTTTACTGCTAGACCCTGGACTATTTTCTATCCTCTCTGGCACGCTTTCGATTCGAGAATGGTGAGTACCGGGTATTCCTTTCTCGCCACGCCATGAGCTCTTGATTCCTTTCCCATTGCCTGGCCGGTTATCGTAGGAAGGGTTGCCGCCGGCCGCATCCAACTCGACCGAGTTTGTCGAATCTTCGTCGGTTTGCGAGGAATCCTTTAGATTGCTATCGCCAAAATGCCGTCTTGATCGTTGCAAGGCATAAAAGTCGGCGATTTCTCGCTCTCGCTCGGTCTCGTCGTCTTCCTCCCGGAATTCATCAGTAGCGCTGTAGAACAAAGGAGCCGGTTGGGCAGAAGCGCGGGAGGTAAATGGGAAGTTCGAAAGTTGAGACGCTCCAGGTCGGTATGGGTCGCCTGTCCTCAAAAAGGAGCGAGAAGAAGGATTTCGAGAGTGGCTTTGGCGTTGAGTTGGGTAGGCTCGCCCGGTTCTTTGGAGATCGTCCGGGCGAGACGCTACTCTCGACTGTGACTGGGCAAGAAAGCGTGACGCATCTGAAGATAGTGGTAGTTAGCCAACGACCAGTATACAGTGACAGTTGGGGATATACATACATTCTGAGAACATGGCCCACTAGTAAGAAATCCGAGTGGAGATAGAGATGGAGATGGAGAGAGTGTGCGAGAGAGATAAGAGGGGAAAGCTATACGAGCTGTTGAGATGCACTAGGCATAGGAAGGGAGATAGAAGGGATCAAGATGAGTCTACTTCCCCAGCAGTAGACAAAATGGTGTAGTCAAGACCGATCAACCGATCTCAAAGGTCATTCATTCAGGTGATGCAAGAGCAAGTACACCTCCAAGCGTCATCTCGTCATTCCGTCTAATCGGCTGATCCGCCCAGGTCAGGCTCCGATAGATGACTAATCACAGTAGCTCTATCTACGCTAATACTGGTGACAACGGGGACTCCTCTTCTCTCTCTCACTACAATATCACTTTTGTATCAACACTTCTGTATCCCTTTTAAGGATTTTCTCTTTCAATCTTATCTTCCCTTACCTGCCGTATGATCGGATGATCACTGCAGACCCTTAGTCTGTCGCTACACCCGACAGCTACACCACCCCCCATCTCCAGTTCGGAACTCGACACTCTCCATGTCACAGCCATGGGACTATATCGCTAAGCTTGTCTGCATCGGTGACTCTGGCACCGGCAAATCTAGCGTATGTCTTTTATTTATTTATTTTTCTTTCATAGCATAGGTCTACTTTGCTCCCTGTTCCCCCGGCGCTAAGCTAACCGCTAACCTCGGGTCTGTCTATCCTAGCTCACCATCCGCCTTTGCGAGGGCCGCTTCTCCCCATCACACGATGTCACAATAGGCGTCGAATTCGGCTCGCGAATTGTCCCCGTCGGCCCACCCGCCTCACTAGAATTAGGCATCGATGAACTCGCCTCCGACCCAAACAACCCCAACCCTCCAAGCGATGACGAAACTACAAACTCCAACACCGGCCTCCCCAGTCCACCGCGCAAACCGCAAACCCCACCCATTCAGAAGCGCATGAAACTCTCATTATGGGACACTGCCGGCCAGGAAACATACAAGTCCATCACGCGGTCCTATTTCCGCGGCGCATCGGGCGCACTGCTCGTCTTCGACATATCCAGGCGTTCAACGTTTATATCATGTACGCAGTGGTTGCAGGATTTGCGTCAGATTGCGGAAGAAGGTATTGTGGTTATTCTCGTGGGTAATAAAATGGATTTGGCTGCGCAGCAAAGTTCCGGATCAACGGCAAATCAGAGACAGGTCACTCAGCATGAAGCTGAGGAATGGTGCAGATTGAATAACGTAACACGCTACGTGGAAACGAGTGCCAAGTCAGGCGATGGTGTGGAGCGGGCATTCTTGGAAGTTGCTGAGCGGATTTATCGCAATATTGAAGTGGGCAAATATGATCTTAATGATCGGCGGAGTGGCGTTAAGGGTTTTGGTGCGTCTGGTGGTAAAAATAGAGGCGTGCCACGGACGGTTACATTGGGTATGGATGATGCGATGCGTAAAGGTAATGGCTGGAGTGGAGGTTGTTGCTAGACGCGCATTACGTTTCTGTGAAAGCGATGCGAATGTGAAAAAAAAAAACTACATATAGTGCGCCGGTGGGACAACCTAGGTCTATAAATACTCCTAACAAGCATCAGGTTATGCTAGTGTTAGATTGGATCGGATCCTGGAGCGACAGAACAGGATTCTTCTATCACAATTAGCTAATGTAATTAATTTTGAGAACTTGACTTCATTCTACATCACAACCACATTCAGAATAAGCCAGAATAAATGTTAAATGTTAATCTTGAACAAAATCTGGACACCTATTACATTCAATATGCTGCATGCTAAGATGCAGATGCAAACCAACCCCGAAGTTTACTAAAATCAAGAAACCTCCTCCGGGTTAATAATATTCATCTTGCCTTGTTCAGTTCGAAATTTTCCAGCCTGGGAGCCAACGCAGGTGGGCCCACTGTGAGTTAGAGCCCTCCATTCCGAAAACAATCGCGCGGAAGTGGACAAAGAGACCAACAATGGCGACATAGAGAACGGTATACACGATAGCGGCGATCTTGACATTGATTCGTCGGGTAACCCAATCAACGCAGAATCCGAAGCAGATAATCGCATAGTAGAGTGCCGGATAATAGTGGTGAACGTAGGTCACTCGGGCCATGATGATAAATGGCAGGTAGTGTAGCACCCAACCAATGGCAGGGTATAAACCGGAGTAGTGGATGAGGTCGATGTCGGCTTGGCTCAGATCGTGGTAACCTCTCTGCCATCGCAGAAGATACCAAATGAACAGCAAGCCGAACCCAACAATACCGGCGGAACTTCCCCAGTAGACGAGGGGGTTACCGAGAAGATAGTATTTCACAACACTGTCGTCCCAGGAGCACATTCGGAGGCCGACGTTCAGAATTGGCCATTGCCAGAATTTTGAGGCTAGATCGTCTTGCTTGTCTGGGTTGGGGACTAGGGCGTTGTTCGATGTCATCATTGCGACGTTCAGGTGAATGAAGTCCTTGAGGAAAGGTGACTTGTAAGAACCGGGGTCACCGGGGGGTACTGTCAATCAAAAATTAGCAAAAGTTCATTCAGAGCCATCTTGTATCTCTTGAAAATTCAAAGGCATGACTTACAACGCTCGTTGGTGTGTGACTCTACGTTCCAGTGGGTGTAGACATCACCAGGCTTGTTCTCCTTGACGCAAGTTGTTTCGATTTGCTTGAAGCCCCACTGAGGCAGGTTCACATTGCCAGCGCGTAGATAGCAGCCCAGCGAAGGATGACGGAGGCGGAAAGCAGTAGTGAGTGTGCGGATCTTAGAGCGGTCCCTAGACGCAACATCATCCACCACTTCAACCTGCCAGTGGTCCTTGTCATCTCCAATGGTGGTATTTCCATAGCAAGAAACTTCGTGGTGAGACTTCGAAACAGGTGCGGGGATTGCATGGGAGTGCAGGTTCCGGCCGGTCTGTCCATGGATGAGGCGGATCAGGTCTCCATCGCCAATGAACTTCAGGTCAGCGGTGGCATCGTACTCCGCTTCGTTGCGGTTCGGATAGATAAACCAGTCGTTGTTGGAATCTTTATGGTGATAGCAGGTGACCTGTTGCTGGTTCGAGCCCTCAGGGTAGGTCTGGACGTGTGAATGCAGAAGACCGCCACCGTATCCCATGTTCTTGAGGGTAACTCGAGAACCGTGTGCGATTTCCAGAGGACTGTCTCGGCCAACTTCGGTGCCGCGGAGATTTGCCTGGAACAGGGAACTCATTTGAGCATCGCCGGGGCCGCTGTTGGAGAGAACGAGGAAGTGGAGGTAGAAAGAGAACATGTAGACAAGGATTGGGATGACAATTAAGCCTCCCACCCGAGCAACAAGATGCTTTGCGAGCACAGTCTAATAATAGAGCGATTAGAGAAGGTCTTGCTTGGTGAGCCGAGGCTCGACTGGAACTCGAAATATACTCACTTGGGGAATCTTCAAATCACCAAATTTGTTCCACAAATCCTCGATCGTGTATAGACCAACGATTGCAGTGCAAAAGAAGCCAACCCACTTCACGCTACAAACGCAGCCGATACTCAGGCCCGTCAGGCACAGCCACGCATACCACTCCAGAGAGAAACTCGAGCGTTGCAGGCGATGGAATTTCGCCCAGCACATCGTGGTTGTAAAGGTAAAGCAGAGCAGCATCGAGTCCAGGAGGATGAATCGGGAGATGGTCGCATATGAGTTCTCGAACAGGACCATGAGGGCGATCAGCCAAACAGTGGCGCGACGGAAATTCAGCTCGCGAGCGGTATAGTAGGCCAAGGGAACACAGACGATGCCGAATGCAGCATTGAAGGCTCGCATAAAAGTAAAGTTGACATCTTCGGGGTATTTCTCGCCGGATTTGAATTCGAAGGATCCGTTATATCCAGCCAGGTAGCCTGAAAGGCCAACTAGCATCTTTCCGAGGGTGGGTGGACATCGAAGTAGAACTCGCGCTTTAAATAATGGGAACCGAATTTTCCGAAACTAAGAACGAGAACAGTCAGAAAGAGGGTTCCGGTTCGATTGCAATGGCAATGATTGATGTGGTCTTACTGAGCTTCGTCCCAGGTGACAATGTTGGAGCGACCGATGCGGTACAATCGGGTGAAGAGCGCAAGAGCAGTTAGGATAATCGGGGCAATGATCGGTTCCCAGCGGGCCAGGACATGCAAAAATGATGGCGACTGGCCAGCCTTGCTCTTCTTCGCGTCTATCTCCGGCACGTTTAGAACAGGGGTCTGGGGTTTTCCAGCTCCTGCGACATTCCGGAAACGTAGGTCGGCATTATTCTGAGCTCCCGTACTGGTAGCAGTATCCATGGCTGCCATGTTGTGTTAGGCTCAGGCCTAGTTTGGATATATCGATGGGAATGGTAAGGGTAAGGGGGGGGGCGGGTCGAGAGGGACCGAGTGGTTCGAAATGAGCGACAGGAAAGGCTTCAAAAAACCATAGTGGCCGGAGAGGCCACGTAGAAAGAGAAGCGGTGGAAAAGAGTCACTAGATAGAATAGTAACTAAAAGAAAAAAGAAGACAAAGGGGAAGGAAGAATAAAAAGGGAGAGAGAGTAGGAAAGATGGAAAAGGTGGAAGCTCTGAGGTGGCCAGATCGATAAACACGAAAGGAACGGGGCCGTTTCCGCTTTAGCCCCATCGAGGGGGGGGCCGTTTTCAGCAGAACGTGTCTAGCCGTGCAGGTTCTCTAACACTCTATAATGCGTTGTATATAAACTTAGATTATTCCTATATAACTAATATCTAAATATTATAATAAGAAAGCATTTAGCTTTCTTTCTATGAATTATCCTGATCTGACCAAACAAGCATAATAAAAACTAGTGAGGGACCTAAGTTTCTCAATCACGGTCAAGGTCACGTGAGTAAGCGAAAAAAAGAGCAAAAACGACAGCTGTCGGATTTGACGACGCCTCCGAAGAGAATTGATTTCGAGTCAATCGCCTTAGACCACTCGGCCAAACTGCCTTATTATTGATTATTGAGCAAACTTTAATTTATATTCAGTCTTGAAACTCTGTCTAAGCTTATAAAAAAAACCATACAAATTTAGAGAAAGTATAGATGGCAGAAGAGGGAGCTAGTAGGCGAGGTCGCCATAGGCGCATATCAGTGCCTCGAATATAAGACACAAGGCTTGAGATCTAGGCTGAGTAAACTAGAATATAAGGATGCCCAGATACTCACAGATCAAAGTACGATGTAGCATACCATATGATGAAGTAGTATCTAGATAGCTGTTTAGCGGAAGTAATAGCTTCAGGAGTAAGAGAGAGAGGAAGCTAGGACAGAAGCTAGATATAGGTATAGGCAGGTGTAAGCTATCCACGACAAGAGTAACAACTCTAGTTCGTTATATAGAAGCTATAAAGTTAGTCAACAATACTATATAATTATCTTACAAATTACCTTTCTATGCCAATATTAATTATTCTCCAACCACTTCACCTTAAACTCTACTTACCCCACTCGCTTTCAATAACTCATTCTGACAAAACCACATAGTTCTGTACATCTACCTCAAATCTCTACCCACTGTTTACCTTACCGGCATTTTACCCAAACCTCATTCCTACCTTCCTACTCCTCTTTCTCTCTCCAAGCTAATTCTTTCGTGAAGTCGCTTTCTATACGTTGCCTAGTATTGAGCATCTGATCTTTGCTATCTGAGAATCCTCACACTCGCCTATCTACAGGAACTCACTGACCAAAACCATGGCTTCGCTTGGCCAGAGCCCAAATCGCTACTTGTAACGAACTGGGGTTGTTACCATTCGCGGATGCCTGACGTATATGGCATCCACTTAGGCATCCACGCCTACATGTACTTAATTCTATCTCAGCTTCCTCCATCTCCTCAAGCTATTACTTTCGTCGAACAGCTACTGTTTCCTTTGCTTCGTATGCTACGCCGTACGTTGATCTCTGTGAGCATCTGAGCATCCTCACAAATAATAGGAATATGAATACAAGGGTTATTCATATTCGCATTATTCATGAATATTCGCCTTATTCGTATTTATTCAAATTGCTGACTTATCATCGCATGTGTGTAAAAATCAGTATTATAACACGATCTTGATATGAACCTGATCCAGCTAGACTTGAACCCATCTGACCCTCAAGTAGTCGAATACTTTTTGGGATTAGGACTAGCTAACCTTAAGATAACTAGTAAAATCTTACTTGTTCAGATTTCACTAGTTAATCTTCGCTGACATGTGAGATACTGCTTAGTCTTCTCATATGTCCAAGCCGCCCGGGACAAGCGGCTGATCATTAACGAATGACTCGAACATCTGCTGGCCGAGAGCATACCAATTCATCGTCTGCACAGGCTGCTCCATACCCACGGGTATCCCCGTATCGTTAACAGGAGATTGCATTGACACCATTGAAGGCAAAAGCATCAAACTATCGCCATATCCATTTTGCACACAGCGCTGTTGGTGTAGCCCTAGCGCACCGAGACAGTGGTTCATCTGGGCTTTAAGCTCCTCATGGCCTTGTTGTGACGGTGTATGAATCGCTTTCAGCTGCAAAAAACGCCGTGCCACGTTGTGGAATGCCTGAAAGAGTTTGTGGTATCTGGCAATTAGTACGGAGCAGTGAGTGGCAGATTCAATAGAGTTTATGAATGCTTGCAAGATGTCGAGATCGTTGGTGTTTCCGTGTTCTATGACATTACAGAAGATAACGATGAAAGGGACGAATGGAGAAGAAAGAATCAGCCTGTTATTTTACAGTTAGCGTCTTTGAGGTTCTTATACTTAGCTCCCTTAGATGTTGTGACTCGCCAGTTGATGTAAGATGAAAGAGGTCTCAATCCACCCAGTTCGGAGGATGAAATGATGTTCTGATGCGACTCAAGAGCTGCTCGAGCAGCGGTGATGCATTCATCCGCAAAATTGACGGCAAAGTCGGGCTGGGAAGGGACAGCTCGGTATATAAGTGTGAGCGTGGACCACCAGAATACCTCGTCCAATTTAGCCAGGTACTCAATCATATCAACACCAGGCACATCATGGTTCGAGCGATATCGGGCCCATATCTGCTAGAGATGGGGCACAGCACAGTCAGCCGACCAAGTCAAAAACGCACTATAAACAGATTGGGAGAGGGACGGTGAATATCTTACAAAAGTCTTTCGAGACTCATCCCGTAAGGCGCACAATTCTTGCGACAAGTTCAACGCTTTTTGTGTGCGTAGGTCGCCTGATAAACCGGTAGCCTGCGTGCTATAGAGCTCTTGGTAAATGCGGCTGGTCAGACTTCCGGTTCTGACGATGAGGCGGCAGTAGTCCATCCCAGGATTAGTTGCTGCGTCAAGAGGTGCCGGCATAGGAACTGTGATCTCGGTATCTATTATGGTGGAACAACGACCTAGTCGCAGGCAGAAATGCTTCTCCAAGTAGTAAATGACCCAAAAGAGTAGCCCGAATTGGTTTGGTGTGTTAGAGGACTGGTTTGAGCCACGTGCCCATGTGTGATAACCGAGCGAGTAGGCGCTTTGATATGCTGCACAAATGAACGTCCAAGCCAGAGATGGCCTCGAAATGTCGACTGCGTAGATAGCCTGTAGTGTTCGTGCAGTTAGTCTTTGAGACTCCAGTAATCGGTCCAGGCATGTTAATACTCCAAGGACAAGAGCCAGTGTCATGTTGTGTGAGGCTCCGACGTATAAGGACAGTTTCGAAAGAGCTGTTTCAGCATTCCGCTGGCACAGGAGGCGATATGCTGCATGTGTTCGGTCTCCCGGATTGTCTCCTGTTACCGTAGACTCGGTGTCAGCGAGTAAAACTAGAAAAAAAAACATCTTAGTACAGCTTTTCCGCTACGTGGAACATGATACGCTAGCTGGTGAGCCTTTCGGTCCTTTCACTCACAGTATAAAGCAAGGTTGACGATGATAAGCTCTGCGTCTGAGTAATCTTCGGAAAAATAAACAGTCATGCATATGTCAGACAGACTTCGATCGTGTAGCAGCTCATTCAGAACACTGAGGGTTAGATCACACTGCTCTAGGTTTCCTGTCAGCTGCTAGGTCGCACTGGTCACAAAAATCATTGCAGGGTAACGAAGAATACCGGTGAGAGGTATTACCTTGAGCTTTTCGAATTACGGAGACTACCACCTGGATGGGTGGCAGTTCAGCTGGTGTGCGTTGTGTTGTAATTGGAGTTGCAAGAGGGAAAAGGGATTGTGTCGACTGTCGACGAACTTTGACAGCGTCGACAATGGCACGCATGGAATCCAATAGCTCTTCTATCTCTTTGCTGTCACAATCGTCGCATTTGGCGTCAGCGACCTTGTGTAGAAAATCAATGGCATGCGTCGAGTGCGCAGAAAAGGACGACAGGCCCTCGATCGGATTGTTCTTGTCCTGCTTGTGCTTTTGTTTGTCGGGCGTGTCGTCACTAGGGGGGCAGCCGGCTAGAATTGTCGTCAACCTGAGGGGGCAGGTCGTGCTGCCCAGTAAGATAATTACTGAGGGGTCTCTGACTCGAATACATATTAACGCTCGTGGGACTGGCGCTTTCCATAGAGGCTGTCGATCGCTGGCTCTTGGTCTCTTCCGAAACCATAGTTTCTAGAACTTGACTCATTCTATTGAGTCTTTCGTCAATGCTACTGATTTTATCATCGCTATCTAGGTGTTAGTGGAACGATGGACTCTGCATCACACGCAGAGGATGGGCCTTAACTCACTAGCTAGGGAGTACTGGGTTCTGGCATCGCTTTGCTCTAGCGACACGTGGTGAGGTCACACACCGGCGGCCTACTCGTTCACAGTTCGAACATGGTGAATCTTTGTTGCAGCGTATCTAGGGGAGTCATAAGTATAAGGCAAGGCCAGATCAGGTCAAGACTAAAGCACCATGGAGTGGTTGTCCGATGGTGTGTTATGGAGGATTTACTTTTCGTTGCCGGCAGTTATCACACTAATGAAGCAATCTCCTTAACAATGTCCATATGTTGCTTCGGGGGACACTAAAGGAAAGGGGCACAAAATGTAAAAAATCGGACTTACTGCCTTGAGAGAGGCTTCCGCTTTCGCTGCGGCGGAAGCCTCGGTGTCTTGCGCGTCGGACATGGTGTACTATAAGACTGGATACAGGCACATCAATCTCTAGAGGCTCTCTTCGCACTCAGACGTATGGGTGAGCAGTTTGCGAAGCGGACGTGGACGCTGAGCCGAGAGTGCGAGAGGAATGATGACATTAGATTCCCCCTCGCCCCCGAACCGCTAAGAGCTTAGCCCTCGTTCCGTACGTGGGGCTATGGAGAAAAGCAACCACACACCATCGGAATTGTTTGCGCGTCCTCGTGACTTTTTCAATTGATGAACGCGACAAGCAGCAAGTTGCTGGGCTTTGCTTCTAAACAGTGTGCGATAGTCTTTGACATGTCGGGAACAAGCAAAATAAGATGCGATGACTGAACATGATGGGATCGAGTAGGGATTAGCGCAAATGCATCTGGGCAGTTACAGCTCTGGGCGCTGAACGGAGGTCCGAAAGGCCGGGTCATGCGGCTCAAGCAGAATGAAGTCTCGGTGTTTCGGACTCGGCCCAGTGCGACAATGGCCGTAGCATCGCCAAATGTCGCCCGCTAGCCTTCCATAGGCCGACACGTATATATGTGATAACCAGAATATTGTTAACTGCTTTCATCGTTCGCGGTCTCGAATAACATTGCTGTAACAACTAGGATGCTGCCTGTCTCTCTCTCACTCTGCCTTCTATCTCTTCATTACTACTACGTCTTTCGGATTTATAACGCAGTTATTGCTTCCTTTCGCGGGCTGATCTGACCATTATTTTGCATTTGTTACATTTTATTTGCCTGCCCGCTCCTTATCAATCAAGAGACGAGTTCGTCTTGCGTCTTCTCATGTCTAGTCAACTTTCCGAATTGCACCCTCTGCGACTCCGCACCACTAGCACTAAAGACATGACCGAGCACAAAAGGGCCGGGACCGATTCCGCTGACTCGGTCCGTTCTGATGAAACGGTCGTGAGAGAGCAGACCTCTGAACGTGTTGAAGAGAATGGTGCTCGTGCCCCAAAGGAAGATATGCGGATGGACGAGGAACTCACTCAGCTGGCTCGTCGATACACGTCCAATGCCCAGCATCCACAACCAACTCTATTCCCTGCCCCTGCCGAAAAGTTCCTTGATCCTCAGAGCCCCGAATTCAATGCGAGGAAGTGGGCCAAGGCGTTTTTCCAGCTCCGTAACAGCAGTGTTGAGGGCGTCAAGCCCAGAATTGCCGGAATCGCCTTCCGGGACCTCAGCGTGCACGGGTTTGGCACCGCGACCAATTATCAGAAGACAGTGGGGAACATCATCTTGGAGGGCGTCACCTACTTCAAAAAGGTAGTTCTGCGTCAGAAGCAGCAGCGTATTGACATCCTTCGCGGCCTCGAAGGTGTCGTTCGTAGCGGCGAGATGCTGGCCGTTCTCGGCCCCCCCTGGCTCTGGCTGCTCGACTCTTATGCGAACGATAGCTGGCGACACCCACGGCTTTTACATTAACGACGAATCCCTTATCAACTATCAGGGAATTCGACCTAGCCAGATGGCAAGTCGTTTCCGAGGCGAGGCCATCTACACCGCAGAGGTCGACGCCCATTTCCCTCACATGACAGTTGGCGATACCCTCTACTTCGCGGCACTTGCTCGTTGCCCCAAGATCATCCCGCTTAGTGTCTCTCGCCGCGAGTATGCCGAGCATCTTCGTGATGTGATGATGGCCATGTTTGGTATCTCGCATACAAGGAACACTCGTGTCGGTAACGACTTTATCCGTGGCGTTAGTGGTGGTGAGAGAAAGCGAGTTACCATCTCTGAGGCCGCTCTGAACCACTCTCCTCTCCAGTGTTGGGATAACAGCACAAGAGGCTTGGATAGTGCCAATGCTCTCGAGTTCTGTCGGACCTTGCGGGCCCAGGCGGATGTCTTAGGGACAACCGCTTGCGTTGCCATTTATCAAGCGTCTCAAGACGCGTACGAGGTATGCGGGACTGAGGATCCATACCTGAGACTTGATTATATCCATACGATACTAACCACCCAACATAGGTTTTTGACAAAGTTGTGGTTTTGTACGAAGGACGGCAGATCTACTTTGGCCGCACCGACCAGGCCAAATCCTACTTCGAAGATCTCGGCTTCATCTGTCCTGGTCGTCAGACAACAGCCGATTTTCTCACTTCTATGACCAGCCACCGGGAGCGAGTTGTCCGTCCTGGCGCCAACGTCCCACGAAGCCCTGACGAATTCGCCCAGGCGTGGATGCGAAGCCAGCACCGGGCTCAGCTCAATACCGAGATTGACCAGTACCTTGTTCAGTATCCTTTCGACAGCGAACACTATGACCGCTTCTTGGCCTCACGACGGGTCGACCAGGCGAACTCGCAGCGCGAGGGGTCACCTTTTAACCTCTCATACTGGCAGCAAGTCAAGCTTACTCTATGGCGAAGCTGGATTCTCCTAAAATCCGACCCGAGCATGACTCTGACAATGTTATTCACAAACCTGTTCATGTCTCTCATCACAAGCAGCATTTTCTACAACTTATCCAACACTTCTGAAAGTCTTACGAGACGTGGCACTCTTCTCTTCTTCATTATCCTAAGCAACGCATTTGGCAGTATGCTAGAGATCATGACGTTATATGCCAAACGACCTATCGTTGAGAAACACAACCGATATGCGCTATACCATCCCAGTGCTGAGGCTCTATCGTCGATGATTATTGATCTGCCGTACAAAACGGTCAACGCGCTTATTTGCAATATTGTACTTTATTTCATGTGCAATATGCGTCGTGAAGCTGGTTCTTTCTTCTTCTTTTTGCTGGTTGTCTACATCATCACGCTCACAATGTCCATGATGTTTAGGCTGATGGCATCGCTCACCAAGACCATTGCCCAGGCTTTGGCTCCAGCGTCTGTCATCCTCCTCATCATCTGTCTGTATACTGGATTTGCCATCAAGATCCAATATATGCAGGTATGGCTGGGATGGCTGCGCTGGGTCAACCCTGTGCATTATGGGTTCGAAAGCCTCATGACCAACGAACTTGTGGGACGCATGTTTGAGTGTGTTTCCTTTGTTCCGACCGGGCCTGACTACTCCTCGATCGAAGCAAGCGAGCGCGTCTGTACCGTACCCGGCTCTACTCCTGCTGCGAACTTTGTCAGTGGCACTTCCTATCTCGAGACATCATATGGCTACCAGAATGCCCACAAGTGGCGTAATACTGGTATTATGGTCCTGTTCTGCATCGCGTTCTGCGTGGGCCACCTTGTTGCGGCTGAATTAGTGGCATCTGAGCACTCCAAAGGTGAGGTCCTTGTTTTTACACGCAAGGGGATCAAGAAGCACACCCCAAAGGTTGAGGATATCGAGACCACTACCGACAACCGGCCGAGTAAGGAGGTTGTCGCTGGCGATGGCTTTTACGAAAGCACTGCGAATATTGAGAAAGCCAGGTCCGTCTTTCACTGGCAGGATATCTGCTATGATGTCAAGATCAAGGATGAGACCCGTCGCATTTTGGATCATGTAGATGGCTGGGTGAAGCCTGGAACCCTAACGGCACTCATGGTACGTATCTTCTACCCGACCTCGACTATGAAGCATGCTGACATACAATATTAGGGCATCTCAGGAGCCGGCAAGACTACGCTTCTTGACGTGCTGGCGAGCCGTGTGACAATGGGTGTCATCACTGGAAGCATGTTGGTCAACGGAAACCCTCGCGATGCCTCATTCCAACGTCAAACGGGCTACGTCCAGCAGCAAGATCTGCATCTGCACACGTCAACTGTCCGAGAAGCCCTCACCTTCAGCGCTCTGTTGAGACAACCCTCAAACTACTCAAAGGAGGAAAAGATAGCCTACGTGGACACCGTCATCGAGCTGCTGGATATGCAGCCATATGTCGATGCCATTATTGGTGTGCCCGGCGAAGGCCTCAACGTTGAACAACGCAAGAGACTTACAATTGGTGTCGAGTTAGCCGCCCGACCTAAGTTGCTACTCTTCCTCGACGAGCCTACGTCAGGTCTTGACAGCCAGACATCATGGTCTATTTGCGATCTGATGGAGAAGCTTACAAATAGTGGCCAAGCCATCCTCTGCACTATCCACCAGCCCTCTGCTATCCTCTTTCAGCGTTTCGACCGGCTACTGCTTCTTGCCAAGGGAGGCCGCACGGTATACTTTGGCCCGATTGGTAAGAGCTCGCAGACCCTTCTCGACTACTTCGTTCGCAACGGCGGCGCTCTATGCCCGCCAGAGGCTAACCCAGCTGAATACATGCTGCAAGTGATTGGTGCCGCCCCTGGCTCAGGCAGTGACATCAACTGGCCTGTGGTGTGGCACAGTAGCCCAGAGTACCGTGGAGTGCAAGACGAGCTCGCCAGACTATCATCCAATGCTCGCTCTAACGAGGCCTCACAGGGGGCGGCCCACATATCCGAGTTTGCCGCACCTCTCGGGCTTCAGTTCATGGAGGTCTGCCGCCGTGTCTTTCAACAATACTATCGCAGTCCTACCTACGTCTTGTCGAAAGGATTCCTATCTGCTGGAGGAGTAAGATATTACTGCTCCGCTCTACCATTCTTGGAATTAACGCTGACATTTATTTATAGGCCCTCTTCATTGGCCTGTCTTTCCTCAACATTGGCAATACCCAGAGTGGTCTCCAGAACCAACTCTTTGGAGTTTTCATCTTCCTTACCATATTCAGTCAGCTTGTTGATCAAATTCTCCCCGTCTTTGTCTCTCAGCGTACCATGTATGAGGCTCGTGAGCGCCCTTCGAAGAGCTATTCATGGGTGGCCTTCATCTGTGCAAACATGCTTGTCGAAGCCTTCTGGAACTCGGTAAGCAGGTATCCCAAGACTAGTCTGTATTCCTGTCCACTGCTAACACCTTATAGGTATTTTCACTCTTCAGCTTCCTTTTCTGGTACTTCCCTATGGGCCTGTACCACAACGCGCGATACACTGATGCTGAGCATTCTCGTGGCATCTTGGTCTTTCTCTTTATATGGGTCTTCTTCTTGTTCTCAAGCACTTTTGCGCATCTCATCATCGCTGCCGTTGACAGTGCCGAGGTGGCTGGCGGACTTGTCGGACTTCTAACCGTCATGATGTTCACGTTCTGCGGGTATGTGTTGCATCTGTTACTCTGTCCCCTCTTCTTTAACGCACAGCTACTGACCCATTACTACAGTATTCTTGCCAGCCCGAAACAGATGCCAGGCTTTTGGACCTTCATGTATCGCGTCAACCCGTTTACATATTTCGTCGACGGTTTTGTCGGTACAGCCCTTTCCAATGCACCAGCCACGTGCTCGGACAACGAGTTTGTCTTCTTCAATATCCCCAGCGGTACGACATGCGGCGAATATATGAAGTCATATATTGAAATGGCCGGCGGCTTCGTACAAGACTCCAATGCCACCGACGAGTGCCGTTTCTGCCAAATCTCAGAGACCAACAGCTTTCTCTCCAATGTCAACATTTCTTTTGCGAACCGATGGCGCAACTTTGGCCTCATGTGGGTATTCGTCGTCTTCAACGTGTTTTCAGCGATCGGACTATACTGGTTGGCTCGGGTGCCTAAGAAGTCCAAGGTGAAGAAGGAATAGAGGACTGTCAAATGTCATGGCCTCAGGCTGTGGCTCCAATGGATTAATACGATTTTCGCGGAGTTATTGCGGAAGTATCGGCCTAGAGATAGACTTAGTGCGGTTTTCATTCAGTTAAGAGGTCAGAACATTTAGACGAGAGTATTTAGATCTATATAATAGCCTCCTTTAGAGAGGGATTTACAGATTGTATACATATTCAATTCAGATGATTAAATTTGATGCAAACACGTAACTGCATTATAGTTTGAAGCATTCTCTGTGATGGGCCGGTCTTTTAATGAAGAAAACAGTTCAAAATCACTATCAAGACTAGAGAAGGAAGGGAAGAGAGGAAGGAAAGTTGGCTGCAATCGAAGTGGTTCTCAGGTCGAGTAAACCTGGTTGCGTATCCTGCCGCATATACGGTCAACCGTAGTCCTCACAGTATCAGCGACATATCTCGATGTGTTATGACTTGACAGAACCCTCAAACCATGGATGACACACATAACAACCTGGAATTTCATCGGGCAACGGACTCAAGATACGAGTCGAGCAGATGGATCGAACAATTGTCGACAGCGTGCAACCAGGTTATGCAGAGCCAAATCATGGCATCACATACAAAGAAACTCATCTCAAGCGCAAACTGGCTTGGCCGTCACCCTGTTCATTTGCTCGATCTGCCTCCCGGCTCGACGTTGCTTGCTAATATGCTGCTTCTGTCAATTTTAGGTGCTTCTTGATACTCGGGTGATCTTCTCCGTCTATATTTCTCAGGCTCCAGGCTTCCGGGAGACAGGGTGGAAAAACCCCAGACAGAAAAGGGTCGAAATCTCGCCAGTCCCCATACATACATGCGCAAGATGGCAAACCCAGCGAGAAGAATATGTCTTGCTCCAGGATAGTTGAATTGTTATGCAGGAATCGCTTTCTCGAAAAAGAAGGTTTTCTTTACTAGTTCTACTAGGTGGGGTTTAAAAAGGCAACCTGGTATTGTATTCTACTATGTACAAAGAATGATGCGGAAATCCTACTGTAAAAGCAACACCATAGTGACCATAGTGAGGTTTACAATAGAGTATTTAGGCTGGTATATCTGCATACCATGCCGCCTCGTTGTCCTTCCTACCTTACTACCCATCCTCCATTGCACCGGTATAGACTAGCTGCGCTGACTGCTGGTGGTGAAAATATGGGCATGCTAGGCATGCATAGTTACAGCCCAGGACTGTGGCATATGACGCCGCAAATCCGAGGGTGATTTTGGGAGTTACAGCCCCTATATGACGTACTGCGCGCGAGTCAGTCGCGGATTTCACCAAGTTTCGCGCCTCTGTAGAACTTACAGGGATGAAAAGGTAGGGAACCTCGAGCTCGTATTGGGCCCAAGCCTCGCCGTACTTCTCACGGCAGCGGCGGGCGTCGCGGATGGCGCGGTGGATGGCCATGATAGTAAAGAAGACGGAGTAGAACCAAGGGAAGGGGCTTTTGAAGCCTGTGATCAGGCCCCAGGAGAGGGCGAAAAAAAATGTCGCAAGAATAGTGAATCTTGCGGGCGTAGCCGAGCCAGCCGTCAACCATAATTACGTCCCCCTTGGAAGAGGTGATGGTCTTGGGGTTCTTGACTGTCTGCCACGGCAGCTGGGGGAAGGTCTTGCGATTGACAAGCTGGTTGCGCTCCTGGGCGCGGAAGCCGTTCTTCTGGCTATTTGTCGTATCCCAGATCCAGTATACGAAGAAATACAGGACATAGAAGGCCGCAAGCGCAACGGGGTTCCACTTGTACTCGGATGGGTGGTGGTTAGCTAGGAAGAGAGCACAGTGACAGTACGACATAGGGACACCAGCAAGATTCCAGAAGATGAGCATAAAGCCCCATTTCTCATAATAGATATCCCTAGAGCGGTGTTAGACATTCTCAAGTAGGGAGTAAGGGGTCAGAAGATGCTTACCAACTTGAGATGATGAGCTGCTCGCCCTTAGCACACGCGTTTGCGTAGAGATAGTGCGCTACGACTAAGAAAAGCGCCTCGGCTGAGATATATCGGTACCTCTCGTACTGACGCGCTGCGGTGGCGCAGCTCAGACCGAAGAGAATAAACCATGGGATTCGGACCATAAAGAACATCTTAAAGTCCAGGATACCAAACATGCGAGGGTTCAGCTCGGCGCCAAGGAAGAAATCGTAGATAGTAAACCCAGTCATACGATGCTGGGCGCCTCTCCAGAGAGCAGAGAAGTATGCGACAAAGGCCACGAGGAAGCCGCTAAGGATGGCCACAGACATCAGAGGGCCAAACTCATCGATAAAGGTGTAGAGCGGGAAGAGACCACTGAAGTGGAGGGCGGCCAGGACGACAATTGTAAAGTGGAAGCTGACGTAGCAGTTGCACAAGTACTTCAGCTGCTTTCCGTTCGCGTGAGGTAGAGGCTTCCCCCAGGCCCAAACGCCCGGCAGGACACAGTAGCAGATAGCCTCGAAGAAGAAGAAAGTCCAGTAGATACGCCAAGCGCGGAGGGAAGGGTAAGCGCCGGTGTAGACGAGCTCGACCAAATGTCTGCCAAACTCGCCCCAGCTTTGGCCCTCCTCGGGCAGAGGCAGCTTTCCAGCATAGTAAGTGGCGCCAATCCACATGTACCACATAAGCAGGGGAAACCCTATCATCAGGGACGACGTGCCAAGGTTGCCACCGAATTCGAACTCATTTGAGGTACTGACTTTGGGGTCAGTACCGACCTCCCAGCCATCGATGCGCTCTCCCTTGCGGTAGATGCGGCTGGTGGGCGCCTTGGACTCGGAGACATTGGCGGCAGACGAGGCCTGCGGCGACTTGCGCCTGGCGGGTGCTTGAGGAGGTGTCTTCCTGATCAACGAATAGGTTAGCGAAGATTGTAAGACAATTGCGATGGAATCTCACCCAGTGGAAGGTTGAGCGAGGGCCGCCATAGTTCCGGCGCACTAATACGGCCGTGAATTGATACAGCGACAGGCCAATTGCTCGAATCTATACGGAGAAAGAGGAGGGATCGCTGTGCTGCGTAACAGATATGAAATCGACGATCCCTATTTACACAAGCCCTAGAGGTAGGGTTATACACCTTTCGTGTAAAGGGGAGCCAAAGACCTGTTCAAAAAGAATTTGATTAGCGGCGCCGAAATTATTTACTTCAACTCGCACTCTCGGGCCTCCGAATCTCCGGGAATGACGGGTCCTCTAATAGCGGGTGGGTCTACAATAACCGGGCACGGATCTACGGGATTCGATTCTCGGCTCCCGGTGATCCACCTGTTGACCAAGGGAGAAGCATAGCCTGCGCTGTACTGTAGAATCTAAAGACTAGTACTCCGTATGCCTTCTCCCGATACCTAATTCACCCATTCCGTATCGACAGCTGCCAGTAGAATAGACACAGCGGTCTATACACCGGCATTAAAGGCAGTGTGTGAAAACCCTGTGCAGATCTCAGATGGAAGTTCACAACATCATGTTGTTTATATTGCGCAGTAGTGCTGAGTGAAAGGCATATTTTATTTAGCTTGATTGTTTTATTTTTGGGGTGAGAGTTCTTCTCGGGCTTATATTTCCAAATGTTTTCACCTAGTACTTTATACTCTGTTTCTAGGGCTTTCAGACTGTTAGTCTGAATCCTGAAGGAAAGGGGATTCCTGGATTTTCTAACACTAGATCGAAATGTATCAGTTCGAACAGTCGGTATAGCGCTATAGTCTCTCTCACCGTGTGAGACAGCGTAAAAGTTCCGCTTTAGTCGTTGACGTGGTTACAGTCTTCTTCTTCGAAGACTGCCACATCATCTTTGCTAGTTTAAGGAAGACCTTTCTTGCTCCTTCGTAGCCTAGATAGCTAACCAGACCTAAGACTCTTGCTCTTTTGGGTTTTGAGAGCGTCGAAAGCAAATAAGTGGCATAGTAGGTGGTCTAAGGAAAGGTGCATGAAAACGACACTTGACTGACACCGATGAGGAGGGTAAAAAATGATGTCCATAGAACTGATTGGAGGATGTGCGCGCGAAAGAAACAAGAACTGGTTATTATTCAATAAACTTGGGACAACACCATTTACTCCGGCTTGCGGCCAACCATGAGATACATCGGGGTGAAAAGTTTCTTTTGGGCACCTTCAACGAGGCAGTCACTAGACAGAGCAAGGCTCTCAGCAGTCTTTCGGGAACCACGAGGGAAGAGACCGATTTTCTCGCCGGCACCGACAAGACGGTTAGTGAAACCACGACCCCACCAGGTCATGCGAGCGATGGCGAAGAGATCCCAAACGGAGCCCAAGTGCTTGAAAGCACCTGCCAGCGGGTAATACCAGGGGACAGCATCGGGGCGGGTAGCTAGATCCACGTGGCGGAGAATCTCGAAGCCGGCGTCCTTGAAGGCCTCTAGGCCCTCGGAGATCCGGACCATGTTAGAGATACCAGCACCCTGCTCGATGCCGAGCCGGATGCGGCGGTGCTCCGGGTTATCTTTGTTGAATTCGTCCGTCATGAATCACTCATACACACCAAATGTACCACTAGGTCTAAGGACGCGAAGGATCTCTGAGTACACACCCACCAGCTCAGGGGCGTGGACAGTTGCCTCAATGGCGTACACAGCATCGAAACTGTTATCTGGAAACTTCATCTGCATGAAGTCACCCTTGACAAAAGACATCTTGTCCGATAGACCATGTTTTTCAGCGTAGTGGGTCGCACGATCAATTTGGAAGTCGTTGTTGTTTAGGCCAGTGATGTGAGCATTGGTGAACTTGACGATCTCTCGCGCGGGACCGCCGACACCACAATCAACGTCTAAGACCTTCATTCCCTCCTTGATGCCAGTCTGGAGGGCGAGGTAGTGTTCATGGCGGGCGATGGCCTGGAGGAACGGTTCACCGTAGGCAAAGCGGCAGAAATGGAAGGAGGAACCCCACCCGTATTCGTAGAAGTCGGTTGCAAGATTGTAGTAGCTGCAAACATAATTAGTAACGAGAATATTTCTAACAGAAAACCGGTATATGAACAACTGCCGGGTCAGGGTGGCGTATTCAGATTTCCGAGCCTGTCGAACCGTAAACATTCGTGTCATTATAATAGTCAACCCGCAAATCAAGCCGATCTTACCTCACTTATCTCAGCAGTCTCATCGGCCGGGTTTTGGTTATCCCAGTGCTTGAAGTATTCATCAAAGGCAGCCTTTTGGGCGGTGGCGTCCTTGCCGTGCATAGCAGCGAAACCACCCTGGGCCTTGGCAGATTTGCCGTGCAGCACCTTGTTGAACGCGGCATCCCACGCGACATCTTCCTGTTCTGAAGCAGTGGGCCTGGGGGCCATTGTGAAAGGAGTGGAGGAAGTGGTTTGGTTGTTGAATGAGACGGTATGATACTTCATAAAAGATGAGCCTCTTGCCAGAGGAAGAGGCGCAAGGCACACCAATTGAACTGAAAACACCGGTTAATAATTAGAAAACTCGAGACTCGAAGATAAAAAATTCTGAAGAAATGAAGGGTTTGAAAAAGATTAAAAATTGAATCGAATGCGAAGCAAATTTTTGACAACCAGGACATCAAGCCAATTAAACCCATAACCAGCCAGAAAGGCGGTTAGATCAAGCGGCAAACAACTCTCCGACGAGTGACTTATCCGGAGTCTCAGCGTTCCGAGGCACTCAAATGGTGGCCTGATCTTTCGCTGGCAAGTCGTGTGACTGATCTGGCCTTTGATAAGATGAGCTACAACGCTACCGTATCGATTAATGTGGTCATATCGCTACATTGACGGATGATTGACTTCTCCAGACTATAAAATTGAGCCAGACACACTTATATCGCGCGACCTTTGACACTTCTAATATCTACCTATTTTAGACTAGTTATAGCATGGTGATTAGTGTTACACCTCCCGCACTCACCAAATACTCGAAGGGTAGTAAAACACAATGCAGCAGTCACATTTCACAGAATAGAGCACAGAAGCCCCCCCCCCTTTCCAAAAAAGTTCTCCCAAAACAGGACCATAAAGTGCAAGAACTCAGGATGAATTGAAATGGCCACTGAGAAACTGAAGTCTTTGTCTCTTGAGTTAAAATCCTGTACGCATAACATATAATCAGCCGATGGATATGTAACCTGCAACTCTGTGTCTTGAAGCCCTAATTTAAGACGAAGTTAGAGCATCTTAACTGCAAAGCCAAGATATACTGTCCCCCATCTACCCGCTAATGCACCAGGTGGAATTAGGCCTAGACCTAACCCTCACTAGACGTGCTATGCTATCATTAGGATTTTTTTTATAAATATCCATTGTCACGGTGTACACAATTGTCTCACATAATGTCAGCATATGGCGGAGAAAGGATAGCTTGTCAACCCTCTCTTTCCCTTCTACCTCCTTCCCTATCTGTTGTTCTCTCGTTAATAGCCACTCCCAGACGTATTTTTGCAATCAATTGCTCAATGATATCACGTGCCACTAGTATCTCGAATAGCTGGTTTGGCATTCATCGCCAATCGGACTTACATATACAAACTCGGTCCGCTCGGGTGTGGACTTTCGCTGAATCCGTTGTCCGACCGGGCCCCGCTAGTCCCGTTGTCCTGTTCAACAGCGCAGGGTCTCCACCAGCCACCAGCCAGTAATTAGTGGATCCCACAGGTTTACCCACATCTGTCTGCGTCCCAGCAGCTCCGACATCCGGCATGAGTAGAAAAAAGTATGGCAGGGCAAGCAGCTCTGAGGTTGCCCTCATATTGCGACCAATATACATGAAGGGCTTATATTTGTATTTATATAAGACTAGGTCCCAACCATCTTCATAAGTTTGTATATCTGCCCAAGCACACAACTTCTACGGCCCGTTAACCACCTAAAATGTCGATGTCGGTTCTTCCTAATCTGAATGCCACAGCTGGCGTTGTGTTAAATAGCATCTCGTCGCTTGATGTGATCAACCGATGGCCTATTGCCGCGACCGCGTTTGTCACCTGCGTCGCTGCCTATTTAATACAGATTGTGTTCAAGAGTGACGGTTGGGCAGGCATACCCATGGTTGGTACAGAATATGGAGGACCAGCTAATCGAAGGAAGATGTTCGTGAATGGGGAGGCCAAAAACCTCTATTTGGAAGGGTACAGGAAGGTAGGGCGAAGCCATGAGCTGCATCTTGGGTACATGACTGACTGATTTTGTGTATAGTTTAAGGAGAGGGCCTTCCAAATTACCACAGCAAATAGTAAGCTCTATTGCTGCGTGACGAATGAGTAAAGCTCTGATCATAGGGGGGGTACAGAATTACCGAACATCGTTGTCGCACCCAAGTTCATGAATGAGCTCAGAAAGCTCCCGGACGATGTGCTGAGCTTTAACAAAGCCGCTGAGGAGGTTGGTCGACATGCCATGCATGCTTGATGGAGGGATCTCACGACTAACAAATCGTAATAGTCTATGCACGCCAAGTATACTGGTTTGAATACTAATATCGAATTGCTACCCCATACTATCAAAACTGCTTTAACACCCGCTCTTGGTGCGTCTCCAAAATCCCACGTCTACTCCCCTGAGTAGCTGCTTACACATCGGCACAGTCCGACTTAATCCTGTCGTCGCGGACGAAGTTGCCGATGCTCTCCGCACGGAGCTTCCTCAGTCATGCAGCTGGACAGAAGTAAAGATCATGGAAAAAATCATGCGCGTCGTTGCCATTGCCTCCGGTCGTGTCTTTGTTGGCCCCGAGCTCTGTCGTAACGAAGAATATCTTAACGCCTCTATCAACTACACGGTCGAGGTATTAGAGGCAGTCCGCGCTGTTTCAGAAATCGTGCCGTGGTTACGTCTGTTCCTCGCAAATAGGACACCGGAGGTTAAGAAGGTGAGACGGTGTATTAAAGAAGCGGACAAGTTCCTAAGACCGGTGGTCACGGCAAGACGAGAGGCAGCAAAGAACCCCGATTACCAGAAGCCTGACGACCTGCTGGAGTGGATCATGGATGCACAGTCTAAGTTTGGTAATAAGGATGACAAGGAGCTCGCCCGTATTCAACTCAGCACCAGCTTTGCTGCCATTCATACCACCACAATTACCGCTACAAATGCGTAAGTTGACTGGGAAGCATGTTAAAGTTGGTCAAGTTGTATGAGAGAAACTAATCCGAGCTGAAGACTTTACACGTTGGCTGCGATGCCCGAGTTGGTTACAATATTCCGCGAGGAAGTAAATTTAGCTCTTGCCGAGAGCAACGGCGTCTTTACTAGCGGCGCTATGCAGAACATGAAGAAGCTCGACAGCTTTCTAAAGGAGACCATGAGGTACTACGCGCTTGGATCTAGTAAGCTGCCTGTGTCACTCCACCTGGCAATTGCTGAAATTCCATATTAGCCTCTTTCCAGCGAAAGGTTCTCAAGACCTTTACTCTTTCCAACGGCCAAGTCATTCCGGCAGGGGCCATAATCGAACTACCAGCCATCGGCATCAGCAATGACGAGGAATTTTTCCCGAATTATGATAATTTTGATCCACTGCGATTCTTCAAGTCACGCCAGGAAAAGATCAAGCAGGAGAAGGGCATCAAGCAGGCCGAGACTGTCGCCAACGCTCAATTCGTTAGCGTAGGGCCGTCAAGTTTGACTTTCGGTTATGGCCGTCATGCATGCCCTGGGCGCTTCTTCGCAGTCAACGAAATCAAGATGATCATGGCGACGCTTCTGACCAACTACGATATGAAAAATATAGGTACGGAAAGATACGCGAACTTGGAATTCGGAGAGATGGTAGGTATTGCTCAAAATTAGATGTGTGGTTTGGAATAACATGATGGGTTAACTGCTCAAAAAGGCCCATCCCGACCCCGAGAGAAAAGTCCTGTTGAGGAGGATACAGGAAGAATGATGAGGTAGATGGGCGAGGAAACTGAAAAGGGTAAGATGCTGTTGCAAAAACTTAGGTATTATACAGCAGAAGGAACTCAATCCACTGGTGGAGGCAAAATAAAATGAACAGACTATGAATATCAGCCTAGGACGTTATCTTTTGGTGTGGATTTAGCTTAATAATTAGATATTTCCTCTTAAAATAAAATAACATTTCCCAACTCCGCTCAAGGTACAGTAAGCCGTATGCATGATTTATTTGTTCGTTCTTGCCATGATGCAAGTATTTAAGAAAGCATGGGCAGGATATTAATGTTAGGCCGCTTAGCAGCTCTGATTTCTTCACATACGCATACGAGTGGGTCACCTACGATACGATACATACTGTATGCCAAAGGTCCACTTTCGTTGTCTGTATTATCACGTAATATATGGTTTGATATCGCCCTCTATCAGAGTGTTTGGCCCCATATTCTGTTTCTCACCCGCTAAGGGAGCCAGTTTATTCTCGATTCAGCTCAGCATATTTGTCCAACACTGCAACCGCGTTGTATTCAAACAAAACCGAAGTTTATAAATGTGTAACGAACCCGATGTTGTCGGAGTCACGTGCCTGATCACATGACCCGCAACCGTCCGTTCTATCTGTATCATAATAATTACGAGAGCTTACCTCTCTTTCCTTTCTTTAGCTTTATTACTTTTCGTCAATACTACATAAATATCATTTCATCCCGAGTCCTTACATTGTAATAAAGCTCTATATGTCGTCTGAAGTCGTACAGACTTACGTCCTTGATCCTTAATCCTGACGCTTATCTTGATAAATCAGATTACGTCCTATCTCTTATATCCCCTATAAGCCTTCTTGGTATCTATCTTAACGAATCGCTATTGACCATTAAATCTACTGAATTAATAAATTACTATAGTCCGTCTAACCCCTGCAAAAGATAAGAAGCTTTAACGTAATTCTAAACCTAAACCTACAGTGCTCTCTGATACTACTATCAGTTATAAGCAACCTAACGATAAGAGTAAGGATGATAAACTTTCTGTCTCTCTAACCCCTAAGCTAAGAACCCTGAGACTCTTAAAGTCTCTCTAATAATCCTTTATCTTTACCTACCCTATACTCCCTAAGATAGGCTTAGAGAAGCAGGATAGTTTTATTAAGTTTAAACGTCCTTATAAGCTATAGGAGTACCTATAGAATAATCTAAAGTAATATAAACGGCTGTTTGATATCTAAAATAATATAGCTAATAAGCTAAGTATAGCTTAAGAAAAGCTTACTAAATAGAAGCAGAACTAAGCTAACCTAGCTAAGATCTATAGAGTTACAACTGGCTACTTACGTTAACTTTGTAAGACTAAATAAAAACAAGACGAACTCTAGTAAGAGTAAGATAACTTTCTCTAAGAATAAGATATCCTCTATTAAAAATAAGATACCCTCTGATAAGAGTAAGACTAATTCTTATAAAAACTTAGTACTAACTGAGATACTCTCTGCCTAGAGATACTATAAGTAGAGATAAAAGCAACAAAGATAAATAAGTTTGCTAACCCCCCTAGTCTTCTTAAATAGAACTAGGACTAATATAAAGTTCTAGAGCTAGTATACTATAATAGAGATAAAGCTCTAAGCTAATACAGACTACTTCTTAATCTCTAAACTCTGTAAGATCTATATAGCTAGTCGGCTAGCTAGTATAGCTTACAATCAGATTATCTCTATCCTAAATAACAGCAACAGTAATAGTAAGATTACCTTTAACGATAGTAATAATATCCTTAACTTTCTAGAACAGATCTATAGAGATTCTGTCTATTAGGATTAAGCTAAGTTTAACTTTAAGAAGCTCTGTATAAAGGATTCTAATAAGTTTATAGTTTTCCTTACTAAGTTTATCTGTCTTACTAACAATACTATAATCCCCTATAAGAAGTATATAAAGCTTCTTTATCATAAGCTTATACTGAAGCTATAGTATAAGTTAGTCAGTAAGGTATTAAAGAGCAGTATTACTCTTACTAAGTTTATTAAGAAGGCTTACCGGATTACCTCTACTCTTAAAATTATAGACGCTAACGTTTAACAGACAAAGGTAATAAAGACTACTACTACTGCTGCTATAGCTATAAATACTAATAAGACCCCTAATATATATACCCTAAAGCCTGCTGCTACTAACTCCCCTATCCCTATAGCTACTACTACAGTATATCCGAAGCTTAATATAGCTAAGATCCTTAAGCAAAAGAAAGAAGAACATTACTATAAATATAATAAGAAAGGATACTGTAGCGAAGACTGTCCTTAGCGTACTACTTAACTTACTATAGAAACTATAGCTAAAAAGATCTCTACTGTAGCTAAACTTACTATAACTAAACTAAGTTCTGCCTCTAAGGCAGAAAAAGACTAGGCCTATTATAAGTCTCTCTAATAGACAGAGAGATATTAATCCCTAAATTAAATATAGAGGATATATCTACAGGCTAGAAGTTTATACTTAAAATAAAGATTGTCTTTAATAAATACTCCTATTTAATCTTAGCGCTTAGTAATACTAGAGCTATAGAATATATATATATAGATACTGTATTTATTATATCTATAGAAGAGTATAGACTTAAGAGTACCTGTCTCTCTAATCTAGTAACCCCCTAGGGCTTCGATAGCTATAAAGGTAAGCCTATAACCTATAAGATATAATTAATCCTAACTATTGACAGTTAAGAAATAATAGGACTATCCTTCCTAGTTACAGACCTAGATTAATATCCCTTAATCCTTAGTTAAGACTAGTTTGTATAATATTATATCCTTATCGACTGTTATAACAACAGACTTATCTAGCCTAATAATCTTCCCTTATATAAGGAGCCTAAACTTAAACCCTAAGAATTAAAATCTAAGGATAAGAAGCCTTAACTTAAATACAGTACTTTAATAAGTTAAAAGCAGGACTATTAAGAGCTGTAAAAGAAGATAGAGAGGGCCCTAACTAAGATTATAGTAATCAGTACAACCGGATTCTATTACTATATAATAAAAGAGAATACTAAATCTTTGTTACTATACTCTATAAGATTAATCGTATTATTAAGAAGATATCCCCCTATAAGGAGAAGACAGAGAATAAGAAGAAGATACCCTAGGTATACTACCTAATAGTAAAGGCCTTCTTAAAACTTAAATTAAATAGTATACCGCCCTAGCGTACTGATACAGACTATATTATATATATAGATAGCTTCTTTAACCTAGGATATTACCCTCTCTATAAGTAATCTTTTAAGGAATTAAAGGTCTATAAGGAGTATATTATAGAGAAGCTATACCTTAGATTTATTAAGCTAAGCTCTGTATCCTTTATGTCCCCTGTCCCAATAGCTAGAATACTAAGTAGGAAACTATATTTCTGTATAGACTACCAGAAGTTAAATACTATTATAAAGAAGGATAGATATTCTCTTCCTCTAATTAATAAGTTACTATAGTGTATTACTAGTATAAAGATCTTTACTAAACTTAATATTTGTTAAGGATTCTATCGTATCTGGATATATCCTGATTCTAAAGACCTTATAATCTTCTGTATACGTTATAGGTTCTTTAAATATAAGGTAATGCTATTCAGGCTTACTAATACCCCTGCTATATTCTAATACTTTATTAATATAACGCTGGGTAAATACCTAGATAACTTCTGTACTGCCTATATTAACAATATCCTAATCTATAGTAATTTAATACAGGAATATATTAAGTATATAAATAAGGTACTACAGCGATTAATTAATATAGGACTCTAGGTATCTTTAAGAGAAGTATAAGTTCTATATAACCCGTACGAAGTTTCTAGGCTTTATTATCAGTACTAATAGACTAGAGGTCAACCTAAAGAAGGTTAAGGCTATCTAGAACTAGCAATAACTAACGATAGTTAAGGGTATATAATTATTCCTTAGTTTTAGCAACTTCTATTAATAATTTATTATAAACTACAGCCGTATTGTAAAACCCCTATATCTCCTGATATATAAGGATATATTCTTTTATTAGGACCCTAACTATTAAAAAGCGTTTAAAGAGGTTAAGAGATAACTAATAGAAGCCCCTGTCCTTTACTACTATAAACCGGGACTAGAAACAAAGGTTAAAACCAACGTCTCTAAGGGCTGTACTAGTGTAGTCTTATTACAGTATATAAATCCTAACGATCCCTGGTAATCTGTATTCTTCTTCTTAAAATTAATAGACTTAGTAGAGCAGAATTATAGTACTCTAGATTAAGAGCTACTTATAATTATCTGTATACTGACTAAATAGTATTCTAAGTTAGATCTTTAGGGAGATAACTGTTTTAATATCTATACTAACTATTATATATTATAATACTTTATAATAAAGAAGACACTAAGCCCCTAACAGGCCCGATAGGCAGAATTCCTCTTCTGTTTCTATTTTATTATCTAATATTGCTCTAGAAGCATAAATATCGTTGCTAATATACTATCTTATAAGGAGAAACTTAATCAACGTACTAAATAACCTTCTATCTTCCCTACTAAGATAGTAGAATCCTAAATTTTAGCAGAGCTGTTCTATTCTATCCCTAGATCAATAGTTAATCTAGTAGTTTAGATAATATTCTTACCTATTAATATCTAATCTAATATATCTATAATTATAGAGTATACCCTGCTTGCTAACCGAACCTATTCTTTCCTTAATAAATATTACAAATATACTACAGATAAAGAAGAGTTCTAATAGACTATTAAGGATAATTAGCTACTCTTTAAAGGCTGTCTTATAGTCCTAGACAACAGTAATCTCTAAGTAAGAATTCTTAACAAAATATACTGATAACCGAGTATATCCTATCTAGGATAAGGTAAGATATTAAAACTAGTTAAGGACCGATACTACTAGACTAGGTATATAGCTAACGTTAAGCACTATATTAATAATTACTTAATCTATAAGTATATAAAATACTAGTA